CTCCCCTGATAAACTCTTAGCCCCTGAGGCCTGGAGGCCTGGGTCAGTGTCAGACCCGTCTCTAGCTCAGCTCCTAGCTCGCAGCCACCCAGCACCAAGGATGTTTAGACGGAGCAGTGAACCCATCCACCGCCCCACCAAGCTGAGGTCTCCAAAATACCAGGGACTCTCTGAGGCATATCTGCCCCACACAGAGCAGGAATTCAGATGAATCAGCAACTGACCGGGTGCTAAGACTCTCTGTGCAGAGGTTCGAGAGTGAGCGTGTGGTCACTGTTGTGACAATTCACAAAGCACTGTGATGTCCACACTTGTCTGGGCCTTGCACACACTCCATGGTAAATGCCATCACCCCTACATTGCATGTCAGGAAGCCCAGGCTCCAGGAGTAGAGGGGCTTGCCCGAGGTCCCAGGGCCAGGTATGCACCCCCACTTTCTGACTCCACAGCTCATGTTTCAGCCACTGCCCTGTGGCTGAGATTGTCCTTCACAGGCCTTGCCAGACCTTGCCCCGGACCTAGGGCAGAGCAAACAGGCAGTGCCAACTCAAAGAGCAGCCCTCCGTCCGAGCCCAGGCCTGGCCTCCCCTGCTCACATCTGCTCTGTCTCTGTGTCCAGAGCCTCTGGCGGGCCTGGCCCAGAGCAGGAATGCCCCAGGGGAAGGACCGAAGACCGGCCTGGTGACACATCTAGGGTTTTCCCACCTGCTGCGAAGGGGTTTACGCTCAGGCCCCTTCCCACTTTAACCTCCCCCCATGCCCAGGCTGGCCGCGTGGGGTAAGAGTTCTCCCCCCTCGCCCGTCTCCGCTGCCCCGCTGTGAGCACTCGGAGGACCCCCAACAAAGACCTAGCTCTCTGGCTTGGTCGGGCTCACTCATCCGTCTGGAGTCCCTCTACCTTGGGTCCAAATACTGGCTTCTCCAAATAACTGAGGGATCTGAGACACGGGGCTGGCTCGACGGATGTATGCCCCGTACACATGCCCCAGGCCCTGCCCTCAGAAGGGCCCCCAGGTGGTTGAGTGTTCGGTTGTCTCTGTCTTGAAATTTTTAGTTTTTGAGCAAGGGCCTTTCATTTTTATTTTGCACGGGGTCTCACAATAGGTAGTTGATCCTGCCTGGACAAGTTCTTGAACTTCCCTGAGCCTCAGTTTCTCTGGCTGCAGAAGAAGCCAACTTCTGGAGCTGCTGTGAGGTCAGTGGGTGAGAAGATCCTTTGTCAGCTATAGAGGGCTGTGCCCTGAGAGGTTTTGTTCCCTCCAGGAGGAGAGGAGAGGCTTTAGAAAGACCCGGTAGCTCTCTTGGAGAGACTAGAGGGCTCACGGAGTCCAAAAGGAAAGTCTTCAGCTCCCTGGGACAGCACTCTGGGGTTCAGCTTTGCCCTCTTCCCCCTCGCACCACCGAAGTTATGGCACCTGGACTCTAGCCGCCCTTGGCAGCGTGGGCTCCTGGATGGGGTGTGGCCTCACAGGGCAACCTGCAGCACCCCCTTTGTATCCCCCACCCTGAAAGCCAGAGACAACACCACTGTCCCATGTTTGCTGTTTGCATTCGGGGTGAGTCTGCAGTCAAAGGAGAGGACAGGCTGTCTGGCTTCTGCATCTGAGACAGTGGTGGCCCAGTACCAGGCCTGGGTGGCCTCTAGTCTTGGGAAACAGAGAGGCAAGGCGGAGAGAGCGGTCCAGGGGGAGGGACCCAGGCTGATCGCCATCCAAGGCAAGGAGATCCCTCAACAGCTCCCGGCAGCCTCTGCTTGGAAGCTCCCAGGGACAAAGCTCTCAGTGCCACCCAGGCTGGCCCGTCCTGTAACTGTAGCCTTCAGTCCCCAACCCCCACTTGAGCCCAAAGGACTGGGTAGACTTTGTCGTCCTCCCTTCTGTGCATATCGCATTGTGCCGTGTACATCTGCTAACCTCAGAATGACACAGCCACCAACCCTGTGCTGTGCAGGGGATGCTGGGGGCCTGGCAGGTGCAGTGGCCCAGGCAACATAGAGGACAGGCTGGTAGCTGGTTGCTCAGTCCACTGCCCCTTCCCCGCTCAGCACAGGGCCTGGCCTCAGTAAGTATTGGCTCTTGACATTATTGCACGAGCCTGGACGCTCACCCAGAGTGAGCCAGCGGTCCGGAAGAGGGGGACCGATGGCAAGGCTGTGAATGTCACTAAGGAGGACTCTGGTCGCCTGACCCAGAATGGCAGCAGTTAAGGGCAGGGGCCAGAATCAGATGCTAAAAAAGTAGCAAGACCAGGCCTGGGGGCCCCAGGCGAGGGGGTGGATGGGGGCAGCATGCTCAGAGGCGGGGAGCCCTGGAACAGGCAGCGTCAGGGCGGAATACGGAGAGTATAGTACCTGCTGGCGCTGTGGGGTCCTGGGGCTGGGGCTGTCAGGGGGGTTGGAGTCAGACCCAGCAGGTCCCCCCGGCTCTACCACTTACGAGCCGCACAACCCTGGGCGGAGTCCTTGCCAGAGAGGTGGAAAGGGCAGGAGCCACCTCACAGAGCTGCTAAGAGCCTAGGGAACGTGAGGCTTGGAAGGCTGAGTTGGGACTGGAGCGGGTGACCCGCCATAACCAAGTGCTGTGGGACGAAGGGGTCAGCAGCCAGAACAGCCCACGGGGCCTTCCCTGGGGGCCCAGAGCCACTCTCTCAGAACCTGAAGTTTAGGCACCAAACATCGTCTAGGGCAACATGGGAGATTAAACATGTGCACAGTGCAAGGGAGAGGCTAGAGAGTGCGTGACTCTCCACGCTGACCCCAGCCCCCTCCTGGCCTCCGCCTGCGCAGTGGGTGCCAAGGCCCCTCAGCTCTGGAAGGCCGAGATTCCGAGTCCCACCGGGGCCTCCGGGGATGCGAAGGGCCAACAGGAGCCCCTTTGGCCAGGTCACTTCTCAGGGACACAGCCCCCAGTGCCCACGCCACGCCCCACCTCCACTACCACAGAGAGGCCCAGTCGCCATCACTGTCGCCGAGTAAGGTCACGGCCATGCCCCAGTCCCAGTTCTCCAGGGCCTGAGGCTTAACTACCTGCACCTGGAGAGCAGGCAGGCCCTCGGGCCCCTCTCCACAGAGGGGCTCTCCCACATAAAAGGCTGAAAAGGCACCTGGGGCCTGCGTTGGCTCTTTGATTTGGGGCTGGGAGGCAGGATTTCCTCTCTGGTTGGAAGTCCAGGAGGGAGAAACTACCATTTGCGAAGCAACTCCAACCTGCCAGGACCCAGACCAGGCACTTCACCTGGGGAGTTTGATCCTCACCTCAGGCCCGAGAGGGAAGGCTTGTCGTCCTCACCTGCCAGGTGTGGGTGCTGAGGTCCAGCCCGAGGGGTAGCCTGCCTGGGTCACTCAGTAAGCGACAGGGCCAACGCTCACACCCTGGCCCGCCCACCTCCACTGCCCCAAGAGGGCCTGAGTGGGCCATACGCCAGTCAGAGCCTGGCTCCCACTAACAGAGGCCAACACAGTGCAGGGAAGGGCGGTGGCCTTCTTTCTGCACCTGGGGCTCGGGAAGCTCCTTGTGGAGGTGGTCTTTGAGCTGGGCCTGGGGATGCTAGCAGGCAGGAGGTCTCCACGCCACTGGACCAGCACACACAGAGGCAGGAAGGCTCACAGAACTGCCCACACCCAGCTGGAGGGCTAAGATTTGTGGAGACACACAGAGAAGAGTCAGGCTCGGGAGACTCGCCTTTCAATCACAGTTACAGCTCATCCTATCATGGTGAGGGCATTAGCCTCGAGAAGTAGGGCCAGTGGCCCTCTGCCACCCATAGCCCTTGTGCTCAGGATGCTCAGGACGACACCTGCTATGCCCCCTCAACCCGGCAGGATCACAGAGATGCACCCTCACACACACACACACAGAAGGGAAAGCCCGATTTCCCCCTCCCTGCCCTGCCCACCCCCCCACACACACACACACGTACACACAAATTGAAGTTCAAAGGAAAGGCATCATGAATTTGGTATAATTAGCAGCAGGGACTCCTGGGGTATGTATTCAGTGATCACTCCTGTGGGAATGCAGACACCACAGAAGGACAGACAGAATAAACCAGTTAGGGGGAACCTTCAGGGAAAAGGCCCACAGGGCCAGGTGCCCAGAGGAAGCCAAGGGAGGCAGGCAAAGGGTTTCAGGTTATAAAAGATGGGGCCCTTGGCTCCCAACATTGAAGAGAAGAGGAAAGCCCACTCAGGCACAGTTCCCACAAGATCAAAGCACACAGATGCTCAGAAAGAAACCCAGGTTGAAAGGCTCAGAGGCCCAGGAATGGGCTCCTCCGTGTGCGGGCCACCTGCACCCTGGTGACCCAGCTCTGCCAGCCCTTTCTCCAGGCCTGGGGAGGATCATTCTCACCACACGACGGGTTCGGTGACCTAGGCTCTGCCCCAGCCTTCCCAGGCCCTTTGAATTTGCAAAGGGAATAAAAACACTAGACAAGCTTCAAGTGGACAAAAACCAGACGCCTTTAGCTTATGGCTCAGTGAGAACAGATGTTGAGCTGAGTGCCTCATCAAGGTGATGGATGGTGTGCGGGCTCGGGGAACCCCTCCCTGGAAACTCCACAGCCAGGGCCACAAGCCAGTCCATTCTGAGACCAGTTTGGGAGCCCCAGGGACCGCGAGTCTGGGTTTGGAGTCCAAGTCTGGGCAGGACAAGGGTTTAGGAATCTGGCCCTGGGCAGCTAAATACCAGCCAGGCTGATCTCAGCAACGTTGACCTGTCGGCGGTGACCTCTACACCAGCACAGCCCTCTAGTGTGCAGACGTTTACCCATCCATCATCTTCATCAAAGTGGGTCCTCCCCGGCAGCCCCACAGGAATGGTGCCATTCTCCCATTTTACAGATGGGGAGCCTGAGGCTCAGGGAAGCCCACAGCTAGAGGGGATCAGCCAGAACTCAAATTCAGGTGTCCTGTCTCAGGTGGTCCCCCCACGGATGGAGAAAGGTGGTGGCCGCCGTCGGAGGAGACTGAGCATCTCTGTCTCTTCCACCCCCCCCCCCAGAGACGTGTGCAGTAAACAACGGAGGCTGCGACCGGACCTGCAGGGATACGGCCACTGGCGTGCGGTGCAGCTGCCCCGTGGGATTCACGCTGCAGCCCGACGGGAAGACGTGCAAAGGTCAGTGCGGAGCCGCTCGGGCAGGGGCAGGGGGTGCCGTGCCAGGGCTCCCCAGCAGGGTTCAAGGGAACACTGCGTTGATAGGGTCCTTCTGTCCAAGAAAAGGGCTGCCCACTGCACTAGGCTAACGGTGTCTTCGCTGCGGGACCTCCTGGGCCCACAGTGATTCACCGTGGCCCTGGGGGAGCCGGGGGGGTTGGTTTGGCCATCTCTTCACCCTCGCCATCGTGGTCACATCTGGCGGAGCTGGGGCAACAGCACAACCCGGGGGGGTTTGGGAAGGACAGGTCTCCTTGTACCGGGATGGGATTGTCTTCTTGCCACCGTTAGAAAAATGAGGATGCTGTGTGTCCTTGTCGCTGGAGGAGTGACAGTGACATGGTGGGGGCTCTCAGCGGGGGACTGGGGAGGCAGAAGGACCTCCATTTGCAATTAGAAACGAGGCTCTGGGAGGATGGGAGGAGCTCACAGGAGCGGGCCGAGCTCCTGGCCTCTGGAAGCGAGAGCAGGTAGGGCTTGCTCTGTTCCCGCGTGTTCCCTGACTCACCCCACAGAGCTCCTGAGTGCCTCCAGCAGTGCTTGGGGTGTGAGGGGTCCCTCAGGAAACGAGTGAGGGGAGCGGGGAAGTGAGAGCTGGCTGGGCTCTGGAGACTGAAGGGGCCACCCTGCAGCCCTGACAAAGGAGCCCTGAACAGCCGCGGCCATTGGGCAGGGAGTAGAGGGGACCACCAGAGCCCCCTGCAAGGGAGGGAGGTGCAGCCCCTCAGCACCGCCCGCTCGGCACCAGCCTGGCCCTTCAAATCCCCCTGCCTCTGGCCCCCTGCCTCCCACCTTGCCAGGGAGCAGGCCAGGCTGGGGGGCCATGAGCGGAAGGGCAGAGGACTTGAACTTCCAAAGTCCAGTGGGTGACAATACGGACAGTGGAGGTTTCCGGTGGTTTTAAATAGTCCGAGGGGGGCTTTTTTTAAGCCTGTGAAAATAGATAGCATATGACTTCTCCTTCCTAACTGCTCTGCTGGGAAGAAACTAGGGATTATTGACAAAAATAACAGTCCTTCCACCTGTTTATTTGAAAATAAAGCCCTTCTGTAGCCCCTGCTCATGGAGCCGAGTGGCAACATGCGGACTCAGATGCCAGGGGGACCGGCCAGGGCTCCCCGCGGTCCCAGCTGTCCCCACAGCCAGAGGCGACACAGCAGGCCTGGCCCCATGCCCTCAGAGCTGGGGCAGAAGTGGGTAAAGTCAGGCCACGCTGCCTCCCTCCCAGGCACGGGACCCCAGGGGCGGGCACGTCTCAGTTCCTGACGTGAGGCCAGGAGTGGGTGCCAGGAGCCAGCCTGTCCGCGCCCACAGCCGTGCCCAAGCAGAGCACCTGCGGGGACCTCTACTGCCCCCGCCTGGCCTTTGGTGGCCTGGGGGGCACCTGTCCCCGCCTCACCCCCACCTCGTGTCTGGGGGAGGGGAGGTGCTGAGGGCAGCTCCCCACAGCCGGAGGCCCACCCCGCCAAGCCCCCCACCCTGCTTCCCGTGGCTCCTCCTGAACCACTCCAGCCCTTTAACCACGGCTGCCCCCGCTCAGCTCTTTGCCCTTGCCCGGACCTTCTCCCTCCCGCTGCCCTGCAGGCGGCAGGTCCTCTCATTCACTCCATTCATTCAACCCAGATGGGGTTTCTGGGCTCCTCCCCTGTGCAGGGGCTGGGGAGACAGGTGAATGGAGCAGACCTTCCCTGACCCCGGGGATCTTCTATCGGATGCAGAAGACAGTTTTTCAATTTTTAAAATCACTGAGATAAACGTGTATTACCTACTACTTGGTGCTGGATGGAGACGTACAGCCCAGCAGAAGAGCGAGGAGCAGAGCCTGCCCTGCCCCGGCGGGGAGGGTGTGGGGAGAGGCATTTGTCGGGGCGGCCTTTCCACAGCACCGGGGCTGCGGTGCAGAGGCCAGGGGTGCAAGGACCCAAAGGGGTCCAGTGTGCCCAGGTGTGTGAGATGTGGGGCAGCCCAGGCCAGATGGTGCAGGGCCTGTGTGCTGGGGAGGGCTCGGCCCTTCATCCTTTCAAGCCTTGGCGAGCCCCCCAGACATTCCCGGGCAGGGAAAGTACAGACTCGGGTTTTTCTTTTGAGCCGGTCCCCGACCACGGCTGGGGCGGGGTTCTCTGGACGGGGGCCAGAAGAGCAGCGAGGCGGCTGCTGTCATCACCCAGGCTGGGATGACATGGCTTGACCCAGGCGCCGGCCATGGTGGTAGAAACGAGCAGTCCGGATATTGTCCTCGGAGTTAGAATTTTTTTTTTTAAAGATTTTATTTATTTGACAGAGAGAGAGACAGCAAGAGAGGGAACACAAGCAGGGGGAGTGGGAGAGGGAGAAGCCGGCTTCTCGCAGAGCAGGAAGCCCGATGTGGGGCCCGATCCCAGGACCCTGGGATCATGAACCGAGCCGAAGGCAGACGCTTAACAACTAAGCCACCCAGGTGCCCCTTTCGGAGTTAGAATTTAAATATTGTGGGACTAGACAAAAACTGCGTAACATCCTTAAATCAGGGAACACTGGAAAATGAAGGCTGACCTCCAGACCCCAGGTTGGGCGTCTCAGAGCCTGGAGCGAACAGCCTGAGCTCCCCGGGTCGGACGGGAGAAGTGCAGGTCAGGGCGCGGGCACTTGGCAGGACAAGCCCAGCTGGGAACTCCCGGCCCGAGGCTTTGGCTCCCCAGTGGGCATGCACACCCTGGTCCTGGCAAGGGCCCAGAAGGGGATATCAAAGGAGTGATTTCAAAGGTTCAGTGTATTCTGGAAGCCAAAAGCCACTGTGAAGTGAGACCGATAGCTGGAGGGTGAAGGTAACAAAGGTCCTGGAAAATCCAGAGCTGAAAGCCCTGAGCACACAGGGGTCACACGGGCAGGTGGAGACAGGCATGGGAAAGTGGGGGTTATTCTGCCTGAAACATGGGGGCTGTGGTGCAGGAGGATTTGCCCCAAGCTCTGTTTCAAGAGTGTGGGCAGTGCAGGGGTTCAGCCTCAAGGCACCCTGTTCCCCTGTTCAGTGCTGCACCCGCTTGATATTGGGAAGGGGGCACCTTGATGATTGGCCCTTCTGAGAGGAGGGAGTTCTGGGGCCTTGACTCCCGGAGCTGGAACCTGGATTTCCTCAGAGACACCGGCCCCTCCTCCCAACATCTTCTAGAATAGTCTGGGAGAACTCCCACCTACCACCTGTTTCCTCTCCTCCCTCACCTGCCCTCTGCCCAGCAGCGCACCCCCCCGCCACGAGGCTGTTCTAGGGTGATGCCAGCCCACTCCCACCTGGAAGCCCTCCACATGGCCCCCGGGTTGCCACGCTGTGCCCCCTCAGCGGGAATGGGCAGAGGGGAGCAGGAGTATTTGTCCTACTGTGTGTTCCTATAGCTCCTCCCCCCTCCCCCTGTTGCTTGAACACTGACTGGCTGATGCACCCGAAGGTTCTCCTTGGCGGCCCAAGACCCAACCCTTCTCTCAGCCACTCCGACTCCTTCATTCTTCATCCACTCAGTGAATGCTGCTGGGCAGTCGCTCTGTGCAGGCCGCATGCTGGGCCCAGGGGCTCCAGACAGGAGCCAGCTCCCCAATCTGTGTCCCTGACAAGGGGACAGCGAACTCTGGAGGGAACGTCAGGGAAGGCTTCCCCGGGAGGCCGCTGTTTCCAGGGGCCGGCCGTGTGGGGGCCGCACCGGGTGGGGCAGCCGGAGTTGGGCTGCCAAGGCAGAAGCCAAGTGTGCGGAAAGAGGAGGGCAGGGCATCCAGGCCCAGGATGCCCAGGGAGGGGCCTACAAAAAGGGGCTGGCCCTTTATCCTGGGGTGACCGGGGGCCATGGAAGACTTGCAGACAAGTAGGGGGCTGCTGGCTGCCTGGTGGGGTCGGGGGCAGCATGAGCACAGTGAGGAAAGAGAGGAGCCTTAGAAGGGCGGGAAGGGGAGAGAGGAGCAGAGACTGCAGCCCGGGGTCCCGTCAGAATGAAGGTCCACGGGCTTTGTGACTGTATCCTGGCTAGAGCTGGGGGTGCTTCCCCCACTCTGACCCCCAGGCAGCCGCCACACCAGCCTGGCCTCAAGCAAACATGCCTCCCATGGCCTGTCTGGTTGCCATGACAGCCCTCCGCCGACAGGCCCAGATGGGGATGGGGATGGGATTGGGGGTTCCAGAAGGCCTGGCATTCCTGAGGAGGCAGACCCGCTCTGCACATTTAGTCTGTGAGAGGCACCTGTTCCCAACCCTGTTCACAGATGGGGAACCTGAGGCTCAGAGAGGTGCCTTTCCCTGCCCAGAATCACATAGCTAGCCGGGACAGAGCAGAGACAGATCTCCATTCTCCTGCCAGAGGCTTTTAGCTAGAAATTTCCCTGTCTTCCTATAATCCCCAGGGGGAGAGGATAACAGAGGTGCCCAGGCTTCTGCCCAGGATGGGCCCTCAACTGAACTTAATGTCTGCTTTCTCTGGAGGCTGCAGGGCCAGCACGGTGCTCTGGAGAAGGCCTGTCTTTGGAGACGGCTGGAACTGGGCCCCAATTCGGCTGCTGTGTGTAGCTGCATTCCCCTCTGTAAAATGGGGGATCTGGTCCCCCAGTTGTTCTGAAGATCACACAAGACTTTGCCAGAAAGTGCTTGGCCTGGTCACCAGCATGAGGTGCTGCCCAGTAGGAACAGTGAGCACCAGCAGGTCTGACTACCTGCTGTGGGGTCTGGGCTCACCCTTAGGCATTTTTGTTCCTGGAATAATCACGTGTGCAGAGTTCCTGGACTTGAAAAGTCATTGTTTTTAGTGATCATTTCGGCGTGCAAACATAGAGCACCTACTGTATTCAGAGGCCAGGATCTGATTTCGGGGCCAGGTCTGGTGACCCGCAGACCTCCCTTAGTGGGGACCACCTCAGGTTCCCCTCCTTTGCCACCTTCCTGGTGCCAAAGTCACCAGAACATGCGAACAGAATGGGTCTTTGGGGTAAAGGTGCCTGGGGTCGGGAGGAAGGCAGCCAAGGGCAAGGAGATGCAGGGCATGCCCACTGGGTGCCCCGCACCCCTCAAGGCCTGGTCCCACAGGGGCCCCCCAGGAAAGCCGCTCTGGGGTCCGACCCTGGCAGGCTTGCTGTGGCCCTGTGCTATGCTAGATCCCCTCCCTGGGGCTCTGAGAACTGCCCACAGGGGCGTCTCAGCCTTGCTCCGGACCACACACCTGGGGTTTGTTGTTGGGGAACATTCTGTGGGAACACCACTTTGGGACTTTTCTGCAGGTGTGAGGTCTAGCTCGTTTGGTTTGAGGGAAAAAAAAGTGAGGTGCCATCCGGGATTTGGAGTTGCTGGGATGGGCCAGAGTCCCCTCCAGGGGGCTCAGCACAAAGGCGGCCGGTGGACCTTGCTTGTTGGGCAGTGCCATTTATTCAGGACAGGGGGCCCGGGCCCTCACACTCAGGACAGGCTCAGCGAGGGTGGGAGTCCGAGTCAGCAGCTCTGCTGAGATGCGCCCGGTGGCCGACTCCAAGAAGTCCTTTCTGGTTTCCTTCACTTCCTTTCACCCCCTCCAAATCAGGGTGAGAACCCTGTCCTTTTTTTTTTTTTTTTAAAGATTTTATTTATTTATTTATTTATTTGCGAGAGAGAGAATGAGAGACAGAGAGCGTGAGAGGGAGGAGGGTCAGAGGGAGAAGCAGACTCCCTGCCGAGCAGGAAGCCCGATGCGGGACTCGATCCCGGGACTCCAGGATCATGACCTGAGCCGAAGGCAGTCGCTTAACCAACTGAGCCACCCAGGCCCCCCGAGAACCCTGTTCTGAAAGCTCTGCTAGTACGTGCTGGGTCGTGTCAGCATGGGGAGCTTTGGGCTCAGGGCCCAAGAGGAACTGTGGAGTCAGAAGAGACATCTCAGGGACAGGGTCTCTGACAACACAGTCCAGGCTGGCCTGGAGCCCAGAGAGCAAAATCCAGATAAGCAGGGCAAGGGGGGGCAGGCAGGAGGGAACTCACAGGAGTCAGGGGGATGTTTGTGATGCATCAGCCAACAGGCGGTGCTGCTGCTGCGAGGGAGAAAGCGGCCCGGTCGCTAGAGGTATGCGCCGCTGGCCAGGCTGCTTGGGAGGGGTCATTCATTGCATGGGGTTAGGCCAGGTGACCTTCAGGGTCCAGCCACAGCTCGTCCATTGGATGCTGAGTGAAGAAACTGCTCAAACCAACAGGTTGAATTAGAGGGGGAAGCCAGCCAGCCCAGGAACACCCTTACCTTTCTAAGCCTCCCATCGGCAAAACAGGGGCATTAAACCTACAGATTGTTGACTGACACTCACTTAGCACCAGCGCCCCAGGAGCATTAGTTCATCAGCTCCTCATGCTGTTCTTCCAAGGCGGTGGAGCCAAGGCTCCAGGGGCCCAGGAGCTCGCCCCGGGTCGCAGCCATGGGGAAGCAGCCAGCCCGCTCCAGGCCGCACTGCCTCCCGGAGTGTCGTCCTGTCCCGTCCCCCGTCCCCGTGGTCTCGCCCCGCACAGCAGCCATCGCTTCCCTCCCTTCTTTGCCACGAATGCCCGCCGGGCTCGCCAACTCGGGGAGGCGGCGTAACTCAGCCTCCGGCCCCCCGCCGCTGGGAGCCAGGCCCCTGGGCCGCCTGCTCCGATGGGGATGGGGGGACCGGAGCCCGCGGCGGGCAGCGGGCGCAGGGACGGGCGGGGGCGGGCCTCCCCCCACCTGGCAGCCCGGCCCACTCGCCCCGCCCCGCCCTGCCCCGTCCGCTGGGCGCCCCGCAGACATCAACGAGTGCCTGGCCAACAACGGGGGCTGCGACCACTTCTGCCGCAACACCGTGGGCAGCTTCGAGTGCGGCTGCCGGAAGGGCTACAAGCTGCTGACCGACGAGCGGACGTGCCAAGGTGAGCCCCCGTGCGCCCCCGGCGGCCTCGCCCCGCCCTTCCCGGGCCTGCGCGGGCTCCGGGGGGGGCGGGAGGGGGGCTAGGGCCAGGGTGTGTGGGCCCCCGCGGGCCGGTCCGAGTGTGCACCTGCCCTCCCCGCCTTCTCTGTCCTTCATGACTCTAGGTCCAACCGTCCCTTTTATGGATGGGAAACTGAGGCCCGGAGGCGCATCAGCACGTGGCGGGGGGGGGGGGGTGGCCGGGGGGTGGTTACCACAGTGAGTCGGTGGCAGAGCTCGTCAGCTCCAGCACCCTGTCCTCCCGGTGGCCCCCGGGCCTCCTTCCGAGGCTTCGGAGGTGCGCTACCGCCGCCTGGTGGGAGGCGTGGCACATTGCAGTCGCTCTCCGGCAGTGCTTCCTTAGGGTTCCTGGGCGCCTGCGAGGAGCCACCAGGGTGATGTGAGGTCTGGGCAGAAGCCAGGAATCACAGTCCAGCACAAGTCCAGGAGACATCCGGGATGCAGTGAGAGCCCAGAGGATGGGCAGCGGAAAGACTGGTCAGGGAAGGCTTCCTGGGGAAGGGGTCACTGGGAAATAGGCATTTTCCCGGAGAAGTGGCAGACTGCACATGGCTCAGTGGGCCTATCAGTGCAGCTTAGGGCTGGCCCTGGGGCAGCACGAGGCCCTCGGGGGCACGGGATGTGCTCTCCCAAGGACACAGAGGAAGGCAAGAGCAGGAGGCTGGTAAGGGAGGGTCTAGGGCCAGCCTGTCCTGAGCCCATCCTATGACCCGAGCCAGTCCCCTCCCCTCCCTGGCTCAGCCTCTTCATTCCTTGAGGGGTCTCCTGGCTCTGTCTTCCCCTTAGGGCGTGAGGGCCCATTGGGAGCACTTCACCTGTCCAGACTCCACTACACTTTGACTTAGTTTCTCCATCTGCCTTGCCAAGTTCTGTGGAGGGCTAAAGGAGGGCCCTTGACTTTGTACTCCCAGCTGCCCCGTGAGACACCCACCACTGAGGAGGAGGCCATGATGTTTTTGCTTCTGGGCTCCAGCCAGTCTTCTCCACTCTCTACCAGGCTCGTCTCTCTGAGGCCCCAGGGCTCTGACCATGTCCCAGCCCTGCTCCAGCACCACCCTGGGCTCTAATTTCCTTTGCCTGGCACTCAGGCCCTTGGGATGGGGACCTCAGCCACCTCCCCAACCCCCCTGAGCTCCACACAGTCCCCTGGAGGCCCCGTGCTGCCCCCTCCCAACCTTTGCTCGTGGTGCCCTTCCCCCACTTCCATTCCTTCCTTCCAAGCTAGTCCCACCCTTCAAGGTCTAGTCCAGGTGCCACAAGTACCAGGAGATCTTCCCAGATTCCCCTGCTGGGAGGGATCACAACCTCCTTTGAGCACCCACAGTGTGATTCCTTCCTTGTGCTAGAATTATTACAAACGCACATATATCATCAACACGTGTAGTCACATGAGCTAATATATTCAAAGAATGACCTCCAACTACAGTGCCCATGGAAAGGTGGGCCAGTGGCTGTTTTGCCCTCAGGAGCCCCCATCAGCTGTCCTATGAGAGCCATTTTCCTCAGAATTTATGGCCAGGACAGACTTGTCTTCTATGAGCATGCGATTCATTTCCTCCTTTCCAGTAACATGCACCCTGTGACCCTTTTTCCTTTTTACCTTGGCTGCCAGGAAGCTCAGAATCAAATTTCACATACTGTCAAGGTTTTCTTGTTATCCCTTATGGGTAGCGTATCCCCCCACCCATACCCCTTACTCTTTGGGCTGTTTTCCTTGTTTTCTCAAGAGATCTCTTGGCGTGATAGGAAAACACACTGTGGTCGGCATCCAGAAGGCCTGGTTTCGTGTTCCAGTTCATTTGTCTCCTCAGGCAAGCCCCCATCAATTTGCTGTAGATGCAGATTAAACATTCATCCTGATCACACCTGAATGTGAGATATTAAAATGGCAGACATAATACCTGGTATCCAAAGTACTTACACCCTCCCCACCTCCAGAAAAGATGGGAAATGGCTTCTAACCCAGAAACATAAGGTTAACGGAGACAAACTGGAAAATCAGGCTGTGACCAGAAGCCGACATTCACTGTGGATCAGCTGTGCCCTAAGCCTCGGGGGCCCAGGGACTGTCTGCGTGCAGGTGCGCGTTGAGCGACTGAGTGCCAGGCCATGCCCACCCAGCGCCCTGAAACTCCTCCCTACACTGTCTCCCTGTGGCCACACAGACATCGACGAGTGCTCCTTCGAGCGGACCTGTGACCACATCTGCATCAACTCCCCGGGCAGCTTCCAGTGCGAGTGTCACCGTGGCTACACACTCTATGGGACAACCCACTGCGGAGGTCTGCAGCCCGCCCGCCAGGGCCACCTTCCCCCTGAGGCACGCGCCTGGCCGCATGGCCACCTCTGCTGCACCCCACACCCTGACCCCGACCTTGACTCCGGAGGGCCCGGAAGGGACCTAAGCAGGGCCAGGTTCTGGTGGGCAGAGGGGCTCAGCCAGGAGCAAGGTGGGAAGATGGGGGCAGGGAGCAGCAAGTATCAGCTAGGTGGCAGGCCTCAGGCCAGGCTGTGGGCATAGGCCCCAGAAATGGCAGCTACAAGGGAACCTCGGTCCAGAACGGGGGATGGCCACTACACAGAATCCCACAGACAATTCGTCCCAGTGGGAGAGGGTGAAAACAGAAGGGCAGGGTATGGAGACCTGGGCGGGGGGGGGTCCTAAAGGAGGAGCATCTGGGTCAAGATGAGGGAAAGCATGCCAGAAGGATCAGCATATGCAAAGGCACTGAGGTAGCACAGAGGGACCCAGAAGCAGCTGGTAGAGCCCCGTGAGGGAAGGAAAATGTGGTGCACGATGCTGATAGGGAGGAAGCAGGGCTTTGTGAGGCCTGCAGGTGATTTGGGTTTTCTTCCTCTTGCGATGAGAGACTATTGGAGGGTTTAAGTAGGGGTGTGACGTGGGCATGTTCAGGTAATGAGATCACTCTAGCTGCCACGTGTTCAGGAGAGCGGAACCCAGGGCACCAGCAGGGAGAGGGTTCCAGGCATGAGAGCCAGGGCCACTGAGCTCGGGCAGGGTGGGAGGTGTGCAGAGAAGGGAAGGTTCTAGAAGTATTCAGCTACGGATGATGGGACTTGGAGATGTGCAGGCATGGCAGGTGGAGGTGGGGGAGCCAAGAATGGCCCCGAGGTCCTAGGGTCTCCTCACTTCCTGAGACCACACTCCCTCTGCTGGGCCGCTGTGCAGGTCGGATGTGGTCAGGCGTGAAGCGATCAGGCACAACTGGTGTTGGGGGGGAAGGGGCCCCTGGGGTGGGCTACAGATTCTTCTGGAGGGACCTCCAAAAACCTGGGCACTGGCTCCCCTGGGCCTGCCGCTCCCTGACTGCAGGCTGCCCAGATGCTCAGAGCCAGGCACCCCAGCATGAGTGTGGCCCAGCCCCCTCCCCATCTCCAGCGGGCCCTCTGGTTCCTTGGTGGCCAGGGCAGGAAGGGTTGGAAGTGGCTTCTTTCATCCTGGGGCCCGTTGCACAGAGGGAAACAGCCTGTCCAAAGCCCCAGCAAGAGAGACCTCACAGCCCCTGCCTCACGAGACCTGCTTGGCACTTGAATTTTGTGCCACCTTCTGCCCTCCCCCGCCCCCCCCGGTCTGGGTGCAGCTGCTGGAGGTCGGCAAACAGCTGGGGTTCCTGGGGGAGGGGTCGGGGTCGGTGTCTGTGTCCATCAGCCTCGTGTGTGTGCACTCCTGTGTGTGACGCGTGCGGCTGCCTGTCTGCATCTGATGCGTGGCCGGCTGCCGGCAGGGTCAGGGGACTCTCGGCCCTCTGGTCCTGGGTGGCCCTGCCCTGCCAGCCAGCCTCCTGCCCTGATGCCCTTCCTCCCACCTGTGCTTCCAGATGTGGACGAGTGCAGCATGAACAACGGGAGCTGTGACCAGGGCTGCGTCAACACCAAGGGCAGCTACGAATGCGTCTGCCCCCCGGGGAGGCGGCTCCACTGGAACCGGAAGGACTGTGTGGGTGAGTGCCCTGGGGTGGGCCACTGCTGGGACCCCTGAAGAAGGGCCTGGGCGCTGGCTTCCCCCTCTTCTGCCAGGTGCCTGGATGGGAAGGGCAGTGACCTCTCAGGGTGGGGTGAGCATGGGGTGAACAACACAGGGCCTACCTCGCCTGGGAGGGGGGTTCTCGGCAGGGAATCTCTGCTGCTGGGATGGGGCTGATGGGAAGGAGGACTTGCAGAAGAAGAGGGGATGTAGGTGGGAGAGCATGCTGGGTGCCAGCCAGAGGCACAGAAATGGACCTACAGGGGGAGGGGGACACAGAGGTGAAGATCTGGGGGTCAGTGTGTGCAGCTAGGGCTGTGGGCTCAGGAGGAGCTAGAAGCTCAGAGGGCACAGAGGTTTCCACGCCCCCATCTCCCCCTGGTCCTGCCCAGGAAGCTGGGGGAGGGGAGAGGTGGCTACTCGGGCTGCAGCAGCATCAGAGTCTGGAGGGGAGCCCCTGGGTCTCCGCAGCCCCACCACCTGCCCAGGCCACTGACCCCACAAGGTCCAGCACGGGAAGAGGAGGGGGCCTCCCAGCAAGTGCAGCGTTCCTGCGTCCTCTGCTGGTGGGCTCCGGAGACTTGGGGCAGCTCCAGGCCAAGTTCTGGACAGTCCCCCACATTCATTGGTTCTACAAACACATGGTCACCCACTACATGCCAGGCTTGCTGTGGATGCTGGGGCCACGGCCCTGAAATGGCTCTTAGATCTTTGCCCTGCCATGCCCTAACATCCCCAGGGCAGCCAGAGCCAGCCTTTGATTTTATTTTTTAAACTTGTTTTTTTTCTCCACGCCTGCGTGGAGCCCAACACAGAGCTTGAACTCACGACTCTGAGATCAAGACCTGAGCTGAGATCAAGAGTCAGACGTTTAACCGACTGAGCCACCCAGGCACCCCCAGAGCTGGCCTTTTGAATCTGACTCAGAATGTGTTCCTCTCTGCTCAGAGCTCTCACGACTCCTCTTCATGTGGAAGCAAAGCCAGAGTTCTTAGAATGGCCCAAAGGCTACTGGACCTTGGCCTAATGGCCTTCTGCCCTCACCCTCATCCACCCCATGCTAGCCTCAGTGACCTCGAGGTTGCTGCCCACCCCCAACTGACATGGCCATGCCAGGGCTCCCCGCTTGGCCTGGAGGGCTCTTCGCCCCTGTCACTGTCGACTCTGGGAGGCCTTCCTTGCACCCCACCCACTACCCCCCACCTTCTCGTTTTCTTTTCTCCCATTGTACTTCCCACGGCTATATATATATATATATATATATAATATACATTAGATATATATATATACTCTACACAGTGGAGTACATACCTTTGCCTGTTTCATTCACTGCTATATCCCCAGCACCTAGAACAGAGCCTGGCAAGTGTAGGCACTCAGTAAATATTTGTTGAATGAATGCGTGAGAGTATTGAAGAATGGATACCATCACTTAGCATCTGATATCAAAAAGCTGTTGTTCAGGCAGTCCTGGTGAGCAAAGCCAACCGCTGATCTTGTCCGGAGTTGCAGGGAGGAGGCTGTCTGGGGCTGTGCTGGAGAGGAAGCATGAAATGGTGTGCATTCCGGGAGCCTGGCTTGTGCTGGGAACTAAGACCGGATGGGTTGACTCCAGCCTATGAATCTGCCACCAGTTTGCTGACTTTCCGAGCCTGGAAAATAATGGTTGGGCTGGCTTTCAGAGGCATGTCTGCTGATGGATGAGGGTCGTGCTAGGTCTGGTGTTGACTTGTTACCAAAGCTGTCGGGCCAGCAGGCTTTCTCTAGGCATATGGGGAAGGAGCGCTTTTTATCCTCAGCACCCTATCGGCCAGAGCTGCAGGAGCGGCCACTGGGGCTTGTGTGGGTCCTCACGGCCACCGACCCTGCTCCAAGAGTCACTGGCGGAGGTCTGATTGTCAGTCAGTGTGACTTTATCCCACTCCTCCTAAGTCACCTGCTAGGACCGTGGTGACTGCATAGAAGCAGTTAGCATTCTGGACACTAGACTTGGGAAGACTGAGACGAACAAGCATAACTGAAAGTGTTCTTAGAAGGTTCTGGAAGGCCCTCCAGACCCGTGACCCAAGAGTTCCCAGGACTGACCACAGCAGGTCCAAAGTGAAGGGCTGGCAGTGACGACCCCCCTGACTGGTCAAAAGAAAGTCCAAGTTATCACTGTGACCCTGGTGCTTGCCCGAGGAAGTCAGCCTGGTTCGGCATGCCCTCCACACCACGCCATGGGCTGTCTCATTTACTACAGCGCCCAAGGCGAGGGGCACATTTTTGATGACCACTTGGAGCTGCCCAGTTCCTGTGGATGGGACTGACAGCCTCCACGGTCTGCTTCACCAGGTGTCATTTGTGTCCCTCAGAAGGGAATTCTGTCCTCAGATGGCTTGCAGATGGCATCGTTCACTGAGGGGTTGGGGGAGCCATGTACTTGGAACAGTCTGATAGCCCCCCAGAACCGTCAGCTGTGGTCCCCGGGGGCATTGAGGAGCCAGACCCCATGTAACAGATGGCATCCACCTCAGTGGAGCTGTAGGGATATCGTCTGGGGTGTCGCTGTGAGAACTAGTCAGCTACGTGGCAAGATAGCTGAATCCACCTTTCCCAGCATGTGGGCATTCTCCTCTTCTATGTATTGCCCACAGAGAATGTCGTAATTAATAAGGTTTGTGTGACGTACTTTATACCAGCTTTCAATACTGATTTCCCTAGCAATAGTTTGACTGATTTAAAGAATTAGGATGGTGGCTATCGCTAGCAAGGCTTAGATCCAGGCCAGTTATTATTGGTGAGGGAAGCATAATAGAGCAGATCCGTGGCGTATAATCTTAAACGTGTAAGGTGGGAGAGCATGACCCGAAGAACCAAGAACAAAGGTCTGCGAAAGAGCACATACATGCAAGTCAGTGGTTGTAAACATCAAGGCGAATTTATTCCAGTGGCCATGGGTGAGAGCCGTCCCTATGTATCATCTTCTGCCTGTCCTGAGAATCTTGGGAAATCGTTGGTTTGTGTGCATTGACCACTTCTGGGGGTTCTCTTGAGAACCCCAGTTCAAGATCTGTAAGTTGTGACTTCGTAGTAAGTTCTGAAAAATCCACTTCTGTGTTCCCAAAAGATACGGAGTAAAAAGACAGTGAAACTTCTGAGTGATTTATGAATAACCCTCCCAGTAAAAGGTGTCTGCGTATTACTAAATAAATAAGTTGGACTATCCCAAATAAGGAACACAGGATCTAGTAATATTTTAGCTCCTACGAATGCTCCATTTTTCTCAACAAGCAACTGCTTTAATTCATCCAGAAAGTAAATATGCTATTATAAGCACACAACTATAATCTGTCAAATCCATTTGGAGATGCTCAAGGGGTCCTTTAGGGTTTGTTCTGGTTTTTACTCTTTACCCAGAATTCTGCTGACTGCAGGTGAGCCTTGAACTGCTCATCTCCTCTGCTGGCCTGGGAGAGTTTCTCACCTTCTCGTCTACCACCACAGCCGGTTTGTCCCCCCTGGGATGAGCTGTCTTAAAGGAAACATGAGCACATGCCCAAGTGAGGTGGTCTGGTGGGTCCCGGGGGCCATCCTGGTTTCACTGGGATACCATCCTCAGGGGGCTTGCAACGTGATTGTTCCACTTGGCTCCTTCTCAGAGTAGGAAGGCAAACACAGTGTGTCTGCAATGGAATCCCCACGCCTCTTCCATGGACCTGTGGCTCTGTGCTGTCTGTCAGAAGTCCTTCCTTGGGGATCACGGTCAGAGCTTCCCATTTAGCATGATGACCCAGGAAGCATTGCCTCTGACTTCCATCCCTCGGACCGTGGGCCTCTGTGTCTCAGTTACGGGCAGTAAACCCCTCTGTTTCCAGAGCATCGCTAAGTTGAACACCACAGCTGTCAGTATACAGAGCTACCCTTGATCTTCAGCAACGGCACGTGCCCTGGAGATGGCCCCAGGTTCGGCCACTAGAGCCAGCATGAGTCCCTTAGGACATTACTCCAGCCTGGATAGTTCTTGTAAATCCAACCTAGTGTCATCTCTCCTCCTTTTGTTTTTTGTTTTTATTAACAGCTTCATTGAGATATAATTCCCATGCCATACAAGTCCCCCATTTAGCGTGCAGTTCAATGCTGTTTAGTATAATCACAGAATTATACAACCACAATGAATTTTAGAGCAGTTTCATTACCCCAGAAAGAAACCCTATGCCCATAGCAGTCATTCCTCATTTTCCCTCAACCCCCAGTCCTAGGCAACCACCATCTACTCTTGTCTCCGTGGATTCGCCTGTTCCGGACAATTGGCATAAGTGGAATCATATAACATGGGGCCTTATTATTCCATTTAGTGTAATATTTTCAAGGTTCACCCAAGTCATAGTGCATGTCACTGCTTCATTCCTCTTGACAGCCAAATTATATCCCACTGTCTGCTTAGCCCACATCTTGTTTATCCACTCATCGGTGGATGGACATGTGGGTTGTTTCCAGTTTGGGGCATGTCATGAAGAACGCTGCTGTGTCAACATATGTTTTCAGTTTCCTCGGGTGTATGCCCAGGGGTGGAATGGCTGGGTCATGCGCCTACGCTGGGTTTAACTTTTGAGGAACCGCTAGCCTGTTTTCCAAAGAAGCTGCGCCATTTGAGGTCCCACCAGAAGTGTGTGAGGTTCCAATTTCAGCACGTCCTCAGCCACCCTTGCTGTTTCCTGACTTTTTGATTATGGCCATCCTGAGGGGGGAGGGGTGAAATGGTTTCTCATTGTGGTTTTGATTTGTATTTCCCTGACGGCCAATAGGTGTTGAGTACCTTCCCATGTGCTTATTGAGTATTTGTAGATGTTCTTTCAAGAAATGTCTATTCAGATCCTTTGCCCATTTTTCAAATTGTATTATCTGTTTTTATTATTCGGTTATAAGAGTTCTTCATATACTCTAGATACGAGTTTCTTACCAGATATGTGATTTGCAAGGGATTTTCCCCATTCTGTGAGCTGTCTTTTCATTTTCTTGATGGTATCTTTTGAAGCCTAAAGGTTTTTAATTCTCACAAAGTCCAATTTATCTATTTTATTTCTTTGGCTGCTTGTGGTTTGGGTGTCATTTTTAAGAAACCACTGCCTAATACAGGGTCCCAAAGATTTACAGCTGTTTTCTTCTAAGAACTTTATAGCTTTAGCTCTTATACTTAATTTGTATATGGTGTGAGACAGGGGTCCACCTTCATTCTTTTGCCTGTGGAAAGCCCATTGTCACAGTGCCATTTGTTGAAAAGACCATTCTTTTTTTTTTTTTTTAAGATTTTATTTATTTATTTGACAGAGAGAGACACAGTGAGAGAGGAAACACAAGCAGAGGGAGCAGGAGAGGGAGAAGCAGGCTTCCCACTGAGCAGGGAGCCCGATGTGGGGCTCAATCCCAGGACCCTGGGATCGTGACCTGAGCCAAAGGCAGATGCTTAACAAATGAGCCACCCAGGCGCCCCGAAAAGACCATTCTTTTTCCCCGGTGAATTATCCTGCCATCTTCTTGAAATCAATTGGCCATAAATGTGTGGGTTTATTTCTGGGCTTTCTTTTCCATTGATCCATTTGTCTTGATGCCCGTATCCCACTGTCTTGATTAATGTAGCTTTATAGTAAGTTTTTAAATCATGAAATGAGAGTCTTCCAACTTGGTTTTTTGTGTTCAAGATTGATCTGGCTATTCTTGAACTTACTTTGAGTTTCCATATGAATTTTTAAAGTCTCTTCGTTATTAAGATACGTGCCATCAACCAACAGTACTGAGTCAGGACTTGGTATGGAATGTCCAAAAGATCTGTTTTGGATATGAGCACGTCTGAAGTACAGACACACAGAGACGAATTTCTCCGTCAGGAAGAGATAGGAGATGCTCGGCGGTAATATGAGAAAGATAAAGGAGCCAAATACCATAATTCGTTCAATGACAAGCAGAGAAAATACTGGGTGTTTTCAGTTCTCAGTGGGGGTCATCCTGCATGTGGTACCCTCAGATTAAAGGGGATTCTAGGACGAGATCTGAAGATGCTCCAACACGTTAGCCAAGGCGTTGCCCTGAGGCAGGGAGGTCGAGCCTTGGTCATGGATGTTTGCTGTGTTGCTGAGCTTGTATCCTGAGAGCATGGCCTATCTTTGCATGTTCGTACCAAAAAAAAAAAAAATTTACGGCAGTCTGGACTCTTCCTGGGCTCTGTTCCATTTGTTCTGCTGATGTGGAAGCTTTGCCCCAGGGATCCTGTTTTTGAATCATACGTAATATGTATATGAAGGCTCCTATCAGCTATAAATTGAATCATGCGTAGGAGAATTTTCTGGGACTTCTAAAAATAACCTCACAGATATATTTTAGGTGTATTTATTTGGAGACATATTTTAGCTGGCAGTTCCATTTGCAGAGGAGATTCTGCCCCACGGCATGGGTAGGGGCTTTGACCCACGGAACAGAGGGTTGTCTTCTGATAACAGCTCCCAAGGAGCAGTTACAGGTTGGAACTTGGGAAAGGACCAAGGCTTGTTAGAGTGTCCACTGCCTCAGTGCTTTAAGTAAACCAGAGCAAATCAAGGTCATGGCCTCCCAGCCTTCTGCAACTTCGTGTCTGCGTCCAGAGCCACCTCTTACTATCTTCATTCATATTCCCCACAACCAGGCATTCTTACTTTAAGGCAAACAGAATTTTTTTTTTTCACTTATCGCCAATTTGCCTTCCCTCTTGCTTCTTAGGTGACTTTAAACTTTTCTCTGGGCTTTGGTGTTCGGCGGTGATGGAATCAATGGGTGTATATGGTGGGGTCAGAGATTTTGCCTACATGCAGCTCGTAAGCCAGCCTGCTGCTGTTTCCTGGGTGCCCCGGACATCCTGGAACCCTGGGGCCAGAGGCGAAGGACTTCAGTACTCAGCACAGCAACCAGCATAAAGAGCACATTTGTGTGGGTTCCCCTGCCCCACCCCCAAGCCCCATCTGCCCCCTCGATGCCATACAGATGGAGAACTTGCATCACAGCCGAGAGACACCCAGCCTGGGAAACTCACCACTTTTATGGTGAACAGAGCCAGGCTGCTCCTTATCTAGGAGGAGATGTTCCCTCATCCCTCGAAGCTGCTCGAGGCAAACATAAGCCTGAGAAATGGTCTGGGGAAGGGGCTGTCAGTGCTTTGCGTCCTCAGGGTCCCAGTGAGAGCCCCCAGCGAGAGCCCCCACACTCTGGTCTGGGATGGTTGCCTCTCCCAACCATCCCAGCCCCCATCGGTACCAGAAAGCAGTGTTGCTGTCCACCAGTAATCACTGATAATTCCCTTTAGGAATTTGGAGAAAGTCCAAGGAAGTATCGGGGGCTTAGGTCTCCCTTGGAAGTTTGTAGATGATTGTCCTTCTGCTTCTCAACCAGCGGGAACATTGGTTCTTCCAATGGCCCTTCTATCCTGCATTATCTGCAGGTGGTTTTACTTGAAGATTCCTGATTCTTTGGGAACAGAGAACTTTCAGTCTTGTATTTACTTGGGGGCCAGCTGTTTTATCTGGAGGGCCGTGAGTTTGTTTTTATTTCTAGATTATTTACTTACTAAGACTCCTTGAAAATGTCGAGCCACATGTTGAAGATCACCCACACTGGCCATTTCCCACTTCCATTTATTTTTCTGGCTGAGTCTCCTACTTCAGCCTGCTCGCCCGAGCGACTGGACCATCGACAACAGCCTCTGTGGGGCATTTCCAGGGGCGTGCCCACTTCAGCCAGTTGTCACTGACCAGCCAGACGGGGATAAAACCAGTTCTGAGTTTACCGTGGCTATAGGCCTGTCAGTCCTTTTAATCAAAAGATTAAAAAATGCCTGAGAGGGACACCTGAGTGGCTCAGTCGATTAAGTGTCTGCCTTCGGCTCAGGTCACGATCCCAGGGTCCTGGGATCAAGTCCCGCATCAGGCTTCCTGCTGAGCAGGGAGCCTGCTTCTCCCTCTGCCTGCCGCTCTCCCTGCTTGTGCACTCTCTCTCTCTCTCTCTGACAAATAAATAAATAAAATCTTTAAAATAAAATAAAAAATACATAAATAAAAAACACCCACAAAACTCTGAAGAGCTTAGTTTGGGACATCTCCGGACACCTAATGGATTTGTCCAGCAGCTGCCCCAGAGAGGGGCTCCCAGTGACCCTCACATGCTTAGAAGTCGGTCACTGCCAAGAAGCCCATGTCACTTCCACCTGCTCCCTTACCCAGAGGGGCATGGACACCTGCTCTGGAGAATCCAGCCCTACCCTCTGGTCTGGGCCTGTGATGTGAGGCTTCTCACAGATAGCCTGGACTGGTCAGAGGGAGGAGCGAGCCAGCTCTCTGGGCCCGGCATCCCCACACATCCAAGTACATGTGGACGCCGCCATCTCCCAGCCCCTTCCCACCAGGGTCTGGCCACGGGATGGGGATGTGGCAGGAGTCCCCGATGGTCCACGCTCAGGGGCGGGGCCTCCAGAAGCCTCCACCCTGTCTCCCTCCAGCCCTCTCTTATGTCTTCCCCCTCCTCAGAGACAGGCAAGTGCCTTTCTCGGGCCAAGGCCTCCCCCTGGGCCCAGCTGTCCTGCAGCAAGGTGGGCGGCGTGGAGAGCTGCTCCCTTTCCTGCCCAGCCCACTCACTCTTCGTGCCAGGTAACCTGAGGCCGTCCCCGGGAAGGGATGAGGGAGTGGGGTGGGGGGCTTCCTTCCCTGGGGTCCAGCCCCTGCTCCCTGCTGTTCTCCAGGAAAGAGCCCAATCTAGGAATGAGGGCCCCTGGCCCTGATCACTGAGAGATCCTGGCTCCCTGTCTGGTTCCCTACGGGCCACAGCATCCCTCTCCACAAGTGCAGTGGGCCCGTTCCGTCCCAGCTGCTTACCCACAGCAGCCCTTCTGAGGCCTCCATCTCACCCCTGGCCTCTCTGCAGACTCGGAAAACAGCTACAGCCTGAGCTGCGGGGTCCCGGGTCTCCAGGGCAAGATGCCGCCGAAGCATAACAACACCAGCTCCAGCACTGGGCCCAGCTGCTCAGGTAGCCCCCGGCCTGTCCGTGCTGCCCGCGCCCGGTGACCCCTGGACGTTGCGTCCAGCCCTAGCCTGGGACGGGAGGGAGGGCCACTACCTGGGGAAGAGCTTCCTGGCCTGGGGGCCGGCCCAGCATGGTCCAGGTGCTGGCGAGCTGACAGCAGGACTGGGACCTCTGGGCCACACTCCGGTGCTGCAGTGACTCTGACCTGCTAGGACTCTTCGGGTCTCAGACTCCGTTCCAGGGAAGTGAGTCACCTCCGCTGTGACCACGAGGTCGCCGAAGTCCTGTGCCCTGCGGGACCCACAGCGCAGCCAACTCCCCTGCCTGCAGGCGGGTCTTCAGCCGCTTTTCCTATTCAGGAAGTTGAATTCAATGCCGGGGGGACATCTGTGTGCATTTAATGCATACAGGATGTGATGCTGACTATCTGTGATTGTCGTTCTTTATCCAAGCCGCTGGAATTTGCTCTTGGAAGGAATCAGCAGCTCAGGGCATGTGTCTTATTTCAAAGCCCCTTCCCTTCCTTGCTTCCCTCTCTCTTCTGTTCTGCCGCCTTTCCTAACAGCATGAGCCACGTGAACTGGGCGGTGGGGGAGGAGGTGGGAGGCCTGCTGTTCCTCCTCCACAGAAGACCCCCGACCGTGAGGCCCCCGGCTTGAGCGTGGCCCCACCATCCATGCTCCCACCTTTTCCAGGCCGTGCAGGGAGAGGAGTGAGGCAGTGGGGTTCCCCCAGCCCCAGCCCCCAGTGGATTGGTCCTGTTGGCCGCCCCCTCACACTCAGGCACTCCCTCTGTGGCCCCCCGGCCCCACCGCCTCCCTGCCCACGAGAGAGGCTGCCACCTGGGGGGATCTGGGCTTTCCCCAGGTGTGCCTGCCCCCGTCAGGCAGAAGGCCCGCTTCAAGATCCGAGACGCCAAGTGCCACCTCCGGCCCCACAGCCGGGAGCCAGCAAAGGAGGCCCTGAGGCAGCTGCTGCTGGGTGAGTGGGCTGCCATGGTGCCAACCCACACAAGGGGTGGGGGGGGTCCCCGCACCTGAGAGCTGGGAGCCCAGGGTCCAGCGGGGCTGGGTTTCCAAGGGCGGGGGCCTCTCTTCGTCCTCACCATCATGGTCCCGGAGCCCCAGGAGCCAGGCCTAGAGCCCTGTAGACGGTGGTGGTGTCCCTTGGGAAGAAGGCCAGCACTGGAGTGGGAAATCTGGGGCCCATCGTCCCTGCCTCACCCGGGGTTAGATGAGCTCCCCCGGGGCAGGTGCCGTGTGTGCAGCCTGACTGTGTCCAGAACGCCTCCCGGGGCTCCCTCAGTGGCTCATTCTTGAATGAGGGAGGCCAAGAAGGGCGTTCCAGGCTGGAGGGCAGCACGCGGAAAGCTCGCTGAGAAGGGCCCAGGAGACGCGCTTCCCAGCTCTGTTTCCACGACGATTCCTCAACACCTGAGGATTCCTCCCCAAAGCTAACAGAGCACCGCCCTCAAGCAGACCTAACCTGGGCCGAGCCCCACGGAGCCGAGCTGCCCGGGGGCGTCGCTAAGGAAATGTGTGTGAGGGCCTCCGCATGCAGCAGTGTGATGGACTCGGAGGGCTGGTGCAGGGCCTGGCTCGGCCACAAACCCCTCAGGAGGCCTCGAGCCAGCCTGGCCTCCAGCCTCAGTTTCCCCTTCTGCACCACAGACTATTAGGCAAAGCAGGAGCCTTGCTGATGGTAACCTGTGCGCAGGGCTCTGTGGGACCCTGCTTCCTGCCCTCTGCCACCTTTGCCATGGCCGTCCCTTCTTTGTCCAGAAAACTGCCATCTGACCTTTGTGACCCTCAAATGTGACTCCTCCAAGAAGAGGCGCCGTGGCAAAAAGTCCCCATCCAAGGAGGTGACCCACATCACAGCGGAGTTCGAGGTGGAGACAAAGATGGAAGAGGCGTCAGGTGCGAGAGGCCGCGGAAGGCCTCAGGGAGGACAGGAGCCAGGGAGGGCCGGCAGGGGTGTGCAGGGCGTGAAGCTGGGCGACCACCTGAGCTACGGCTACTGAGGTAGAGACCAGCCAGGCAGTGGGGGCGCCGGGGAGGGTAGGCGCTGGGTAGCCCGGGATGGAAGAGGAGGCCCGGGGCTCAGGGGCCCACAGTGACGGCCACACGGCCTCTCTCCACCCTTCATGCCCTCGCTGGGGCCTGGAAGGGCTCATGCCTATGGAGTTTCCGGAACAACTGAGCCAAGGGCCTATCTTTCTCAGGTGCCAGAAGGGGCCTATAATGCTGGCTTGAGTTTCATCAGTGCTTTCCTCTTGGCCGTAAATGAGTGCTGAGTTGTGACAGGGGAGTTGAGATCTGTCAGCAGATACGTGCTGTGTGTGCCCAGCTCCAGGCACTTTTGGAAAGGGGACCAGACCCAAGGTCCTCGTCCTGGCAGCACTCCCAGCCATGGGGACACAGACCCACATACAAACCACCCGGTGCTGAGGGAAACCCTGGGTGGTGGGGGCGTGAGAGCAAACAGGACCCGGAGCTGAGAGTCTCCCCAAGAGAGGGGCCCAGGAAGTCTTCCCAGAAGACTGATTTGAATCAGGACTTAAAATCAAAGTTCACCAAGTGGAGGAGGTTGGAGGAGGTGGCAGGGAATGGCATTCAGGCAGAGGGAAGGGAGTAGAGATCAGAGGGAATGGGATGTGCTCAGGAGGCAGTGAGCAGGACAGGGTGGCTAGAAAGCAGAGTTCACAGTGGGTGTCGGAGGGCTGGGGGTGAGGCCTGGCAAGGCAGGCAGGGGCCCCACCACAAGGGGCCTTGGATCCAAGGCCAGAGAGCTGGGCATTGTCCTGGGAATAGTGGCAGCCTTGGGGGTGTTGAGTGGCAGGGAGGAGTGCCTGTGCGTGAGCTGTGTCCTGGAGAGGTGATGCACTCCGCTGTGGCGGAGGCCCGGTTTCTCCTCCGATCTGCGGTGTGGCCTTGAGCAGGTCATACCTCTTGGACCCTCATTCTCCTCATCTGTCAGATGGACGCCACAGTGGTGCCTCGGCCCCCGGCTGCTGCGCGAACATGCTGGGGGCCGAGGCCCGGCGGAGGGGGAGGCCCGGGGAAGAGGCCACTCCCAGGGGGTTGCGAGTCACCGTCCCTCCCGCCCCTGCAGACACCTGTGAGGCGGACTGCATGCGGAAGCGCGCCGAGCAGAGCCTGCAGGCCGCCATCAAGACTCTGCGGAAGTCCATCGGCCGGCAGCACTTCTCCATCCAGGTCGCAGGCACAGAGTACGCGATGGCCCAGTGGCCGGCCAAGGCCCTGGAGGGCCAGGGGGCGTGCGTCACAGGCCAGGTGTTACAGGACGGGAAATGCGGTGCGTCCCTGCCCGTGGCCACTGGGATGCCCACTCGGCAAACCTCTGCCCTTCCTTCCACGGGGGGCCTGGGTCAGCAGACACACTGGGAGGGGACAGCGAGACAGAAGCCTGCCAGAGAGAAGCAGTCCCGTGCTCATCGTTATGGCTGGCATTTGAAGAGCACTCCCCTGGTGCCAGGCTCTGGGCAAAGCATTTGCTGGGCAAACATTTGCACGCACGACCCTCACCACAATCCTGAGGACGGGTGGGACAGGGAGAGCGCAGGCCAGCACGGCCACAGCGGAGAGGCAGGAGGGGCACGGGGATTAGTCTGTGTGGCTAGAGAGGGCCTCCCAGCAGAGGGAGCGTGGGAGCTGAGGGCAGAGGAGGAGCCGAGCGAAGATGCACGCGAGGCTGAGGGCCACCCAGGCCTGCAGCACAGGCTGCCGGGAAGCAGGCGAGGCCGGGCCCACGGCAGGAGCTCGGGCAGGGCAGCCAGCCAGGGTCCAGGCCCGGGAGGCAGGGGACTTGACCAGAGCCCCAGGAGCTGGCCTGTTGAGAGGGGTTGGGTCTAGACACAGCTGCAGGAGAATGGACAGGGCCCTTGTTCTGCTGGGCTTCACGTTTCCCGGGGAGAGAAGGCAGCCAGTGAGCAAGTAAGCACACCCACAGGCCAGGGGAGGCAGCCGCCTTGTGGGCCTCGTGGGCGCAGGTGCTACTCTGGTGCCGTGGAAACCACAGGAAGGTTCCAAGCAGAGGAGCAACCTTACTGCTCTCTCATCAGGGGAAGGCTTCCGCGAGCGAGGACCAGGGAAGGGAGGCCAAGCGGGAGTCGGTGGGGCCTTGAACGGGGAGTGGGGGGCTGGCAGCAGGACAAGAAGGAACGAGACAGATTGAGAGAGCACTTTGGAGGGGCGGCTGGGAGGAAGGAGGCTTCGAGGGCAGCCCCCAAGGGCCACGGGGCAGAGGTGGCATCATTTTCTGATCTGGGGAACCTGGGGACGACGCAGCTGGTGGAGACGGAGTGTTCTGTCTGTACTCACTATCTCAGATGCACGTGAGTCATCCCTGTGCAGACGCTGAACGGTTAGGGTGGTTGGAGTCACAAATCTGGGGCACAAAGCATAGGCTGGGCCAGAGAGATAAACTGGGGATCCCCTGAGAAGAGGTGGGACTTAGGGGCGTAGGGGGAAGGGAGGACTCTGGCTCGAGCAATGGAGTGAGCATGGCAGGAGGGCAGGGGCCTTCGTGATGTCATTCTTTTCTTTTTTCAAAAGATTTTATTTATTTGAGAGAGAGAGCACACACGAGGAGGGGGAGGGGCAGAGGGAGAAGCAGGCTCCCCACTGAGCAAGGAGCCCGATGCAGGACTCGATCCCGGGACCCCGGGATCACGACCTGAGCGGAAGGCAGACACTTTGAGCCACCCAGGCTCCCCCTTCTTCTATTTTCAATAGCTTATTCTGAAATCATTTAAAACATTCGGAAATATGGCCAGGCAGAACAAGGAACTTCCATGGTTTCTTCATCCAGGCGCCCCCGTGCGCTGCCTCAAGCACGTCCAGCCCACGCGGTCCATCCCAGTTCCCCCACTCTTCCCGCAGCGTCCCTGTCCTGCACGTTCAGTGTCCTGTCTCTCCTTCCTTCAGTGTGGAGCAGTCCCTCGCTCTTTCCCTGCCTCTCCTGTCCTCCTGCTGTAGGATGACCCTCATGGGGCTGCATCCCATGTTTCCGTGACGGTCTCAGCAGGAAACCGCGCTGGCCGCCTGCTCTTCCGCGCCCCCGTCAGGAGGCACAGGACACTGACCCAGGCCACCCCTGGTTCCTCCACCTCCCTTTTCCTTCTGCAATTGAGGAGGATTTGCTGGGGATGTAATTCTGAGTTTATACCAACATCCTGCTCCCCATCAGACATCCTCCCCCCCCAGCAGCACTCAGGGACAACTCCCACCAAAGCAGACACATCTCCCATGGTTGCGGGCCGGTATCCTCTATTCCTGCCAGCCCTGGTCCGTGTGTATTAGTTAGCATTCTCCTGTCAGGAAGCTTTCCCTTCCCCCTCGCTTACGGATGCCTCTGTGCATCCACATGTCCGTGTGGACTGAGACTCCTCTGTTCTTCACTGGGTTGTCATCCAAGCCTAGGATTACTTAGTTCAGTGCTCAGATCATCCCCAGTGTAGCCAGTAAAGTTCCCCTGTCCTTTGGACACACCCCACGCCCCCATCACTCACTGAGGATTCTCGGGCACCAAACCTGTACTTTCCCTGCCCCAGCCTTCGCAATCAGTCAGGAACCCCTGGACCCCTAGAGGAGGAAGATATGCAGAAGCCAAAGCTGGGGTCCTCATTGCTACTGGGGTGTCCTTGCTTCCAGGCTCTCTCATTGGACAGACCTAGAAAGTATGGGTGTATATCATACATGGGTGTATATATATATTTCCATAGGTATAAATGGGTACATAGAGGTGTGTGTGTGCGTGTGTGTGTGTTTTGATTGAAAACCATGCGTTCACACCAATCCCTCCAATTCAATAGCTCAGGGTTCTTTCTAACCTCCCCTCTTTCCATGTTTCTAAATTTGTTCTCCAGAGGAACATGCGGCTCCCTCTCTCCTCATTTCCTCGGTCAGTCTTCTTACTCATCAGTTTGCTCTATGCAGCCGACCACACCAGCTCTGGACAACCCTCAGCCACCAGGCCTCCCTGCCCCCACCTCTGTCACTCCCCCCCCCCGCCCTCTGCACCACCCCCATGTCCCCAGATGGCCACTCCACCCCATGGGGAAGGAAAGGGGAGGGTAGGAGAGCTGGGTTTGGACAAAATACCTATAGGACGGCCAGGAAACGGTTGGTACGCAGGCCGAGGGCAGGATGCAGAGCAGAGAGAGAACTAAGGGCTGAGCAGGAGTGACCAGCACGGGGCAGGAGACCAGGGTCAGGCCTCCGGGCTCTTCACAGATGGCTGGTGTCTTGTTCCTACCCCCAGCTCTCCTTTGAGCCACAGGGACGAGGGATGTGCTCTATCTGGGAGGACGGAGCCTGGGTTTGAGGTACCAGGAGACAGACCACCTGGGCACCACTCCCCACCCCTGCCACCGGCAATCTCTCCACTTTGCCTCTGCAGTGGCCTGCGGGCCTGGCACCTACTTCAGCGGAGAGCCTGGCCAGTGTGTGCCATGCGCGCCGGGGTCCTACCAGGACGGGGACGGCCAACTCAGCTGCATGCCATGCCCCAGCAGCGACGGGCTCGGCCTGGCTGGTGCCCGCAACGTATCCGAATGTGGAGGCGAGTGCAGGTCCCCCCTGGAGGGCGGGGCTGGGGGTTGCGGTGGGGGGAGGGCCCGGGGGCACCTCCTGTCTCTACTGAGGTCCCCAAAGCAAAGGCCCGGTCCCTGGTGATACTCTGTAAAGCTCTCTGCATGTGTGCAGAGCTGGCATGACTTCAGGCTGCTGCGCTCTGGTGCCCCGGAGGATCTGTGTGTCAGCAAGCACTGGGCTGTGCCTAGTGCACCTGCGAACAGCAGCATGCAGTTTGGAAAGGACTTTACAGTTTATAAACACTTGGTCATTTACGGGTAACTCACTGTCTATAACGGAGGTACCTAGTGCTTTACGGTTGACCAAACGTGTTACGTGGTATGGAGCCCCGCATCATCACCGAAAGGCTTTATGGAGGGTCCCATATACTCGGCAAGAACTGTTCCCTACATGAAGAACTTTACAGTTTGCCCTATAGATGGTTTGGGAAAGCCCTTTTTCAGTTTACCAAGCACAACTTGGTTTGCAAAGAGCTTTTCCATTCCCTACCTCACTTAACCACACCTGTGATACAGGCTCACACCCCCACCCATCAGCCTCCCTTCTCCGGCCCTCATGGGACCACCCAGGACAATGGGTGGGAAAGGGTGCCTGCGAGGGTGGGTAGGTAGGATCCTCACGGCAGTGGAGACCACCAGCCAGCCTTCTCTGGGGTACAGAAGAGATCAGAGCCCAGCCCTGAGTCCCTGCAGGCTAGCTGGCTGTGCCCTCCAAGAGTGTGGTCTCTGCCCTTAGTGGGGCTGGTGACTGAGCAGAGAGCAGCCACTGGTGGGAGCAGAGAATTCAGGGTCTGGGCCGAGAGGGCCCTCAACCCACCCCTCACTCAATGCCAAAGCACCCTCTGCATCCCAACTTAATGCTGGGTGTGCTGTCCCCTCCCTTTTTCCCAGCCAGGCCCTCAAGGACCTCACAGACTCCCCTCCCTCTGCCCTGGCCCAGCCCTGCAGAGAGACAAGGCCGGTCAGCCTGGACCCCACTTCCTCATGTGGAAGGCACAGTGTGGCCTGCCCCCTGGGGGGAGCCCCTTCGACCTCTCCCCTCCACAAGCGGAGTCCACACTTCCCAGCTCAACAGCAAAGCCCCTTGCTCTTCAACCCATAGCCCTTCTTGCTAGTGGGAGAGGTGAAGCCACACCTGGCCAAGGCCCCCTAGGGCATGAGCCGTTGGCAGCATCTGGACGGGGGGTGGGCCTTGTGCAGCCCAGGCCCCTTCCCCCCAAGTCCCCCCTCCCCCCCAGCACCACCCCCAGCCGTGGTGCCCTTCCCCAGGGCAGGTGAGGGTTGAGAGCAGGGTCTGGACCGAGGCGCCCCGCCCCCCTCCACCAGCCTGAGCCATGACCTCTGACTTCCAGGCCAGTGTTCCCCAGGCTTCTTCTCCCCGGATGGCTTCAGGCCCTGCCAGGCCTGCCCAGTGGGCACATACCAGCCTGAGCCTGGGCGCACAGGGTGCTTCCCCTGCGGAGGGGGGCTGCTCACCAAGCAGGAGGGCACAGTCTCCTTCCAAGACTGCGAGGCCAAAGGTGAGTCTGCAGGGCTGTGCAGGGACGTTTTCCCTCAACACCTCTCATTTCCTGTGTGGCAGATCTCCAAGGGCAGAGGGGCACCCCGGAGCTGCCGACAGTGGACATGGTGACCAGCACCGTGCCACACGCCAGGACAGGGACAGCGGGGTTCCACACAAGCCCACCCGAGGGTCTTAGATGGGAGAGCCAGGCAGGCACAGTGGTTACAGACGGGAGCTTTGAGCCTGACTCACAGGAAAGTTTTGGGAGGTTGGGGGGGTGAAGAAATGCGGGGGTGGCAGGGGCAGTGGGGCGAGGTCAGACGTCTCACCTTACCTGGAGACCCTCCCTTCAGGGCCGTGGGGGTCCTGCTATCTAGCCGCACCTTCCCTTCCATGGTCACCGAATCCCCCCTGAGGAGCCTGCCTCCTGCCTGCCAAGGGCCTCTTCCCACCCGCTGACCCTGATATTCTTGGGAACAGACAGAATCCTCCCTTTTAGAAGAGAAAACTCCATCTGCCCTCCAGTTCCTGCCAGGATTTCTCCTCCTTACTATGAAACTTGTAGAAAGAGTGTCTGGACTCCCCTTCCTCTCCCCTCACCCTCTCCCAAACCCCACTGGTCAGACTCTCACCCCACGGCCCCCCATCATTGCTCCCATCAAGGCTGGAGCCAAATCGGTTCCCAGCTGGCATCTCCCACAGCCCCGTGGCCCCAGGCCCCACTCAGTCTCACCCACCCACCCCTCATCTGGTAGTGCTGGGGTCCCCGGCCTGGGCACTCACTCTGGAACCTGGAAAGAAAGAGCATCCAGTGACCCCACTTTCTGTCCCCAACCCCACCTCTGTCCTGAGCAAGATGCTACACCCTCCTGCCAGTGGACAGCCCCGGTCATATCTAGCAACCCACCTGTCACTCCACGTGGCCAGAGCCCCTCATCTTTGCCGCAAAGTGCCCCCCGCCCCGGCTCACACCAGCTCTGTCCTGCCAGGTGCCCAAGGAGACCTTGGAGTGCCCCCGAGTGCTCTCTCTCTGACCTCACATCCAGTCTGTCCACAGCCCCAGACAGCAGCTCTGAGCGATGAGCTCTCAGCGCCCCACTCCTGCCCCCCGAGCCAGGCCACTGCTACCTGTCCCCCCCACCCGCCCCCTCCCCAGAGCATGAGACAGGACCATGCAGTGGCTCCAGATGCCCTCCTCCCTCAGCGCAAAGCCTAGCATGACCCCCTGGCCCCAGGAGCCCGTTCCCGTGGCCTGTGGCCTCCCCTCTGGCCACACCCGGCATGCGCAGCCCACTCCGGGCCCAGCTCGGCCGCTCCCTCCGCCCAGATGGCCTCCCAGCCAGCTCCACACTGCTCAAGCCTCCACCCAAGATCCCTGCGCCCCTTGAGCAGCCCATGCCTGGCCTTAAACATCTCATGCCCCATTTATTGCCCCCGAACACACGCACCTCGGGGGCGGGCCTTGGTCTGCGGAGCTCACTGCCCAGCTCCCAGCGGCCCATCACGCTCCACACCGCTGTGGACGAGGCCAGGACTGGGTGCGGGTGATGGGAGGCCACTGGGTGGTAAAGAAGGGCCTTGACCTTGGCTCCAAGACAGACCTCGAGGGCAGGGAGGCGCCAGGGAGGATGCCCCTGCCCTTTCCCACCTGCCCCCCCCACCGCGGCCCACAGTGCACTGTTCCCCGGGGCACCACTACAATACCAGGACACACCGGTGTATCCGCTGCCCGGTGGGCACCTACCAGCCCGAGTTTGGCCAGAACCACTGCATCACCTGCCCGGGCAACACCAGCACGGACTTCGATGGCTCCACCAACGTCACACACTGCAAAAGTAGGTGCAGCTCTCCCCGTGGCCAGGGGGCTGGGCTGCTGGGGCGGGGTGAGCCCGCACCCCACGTGGTGTCCGCAGGACCCCGGGGACCCCGCCCGGTCTAGCACATCCGCACGTCTGCTCAGGGTGATGCCCGCACCCCTGTGCTCGGCGGGCCCTGCTCGAGGCCCCAGGTCTGTGGAGGGCAAAGCCAGGCCGCGCCGGGGGACCTGCGGGGCAGCGGCTGAGGGCCCGGCCGTGCTGCCTCGGAAGGCACGCGTGGCTGGGCTGCCAAGTGGACGCAAACCAGCCCAGGGGACAAGGAAGCAAGCGCCAGGTGTGGACGGGTGTGGAGGTGCCAGAGGAAGACCGGAGGCCTCCTCCTGTCTGTGAGAAGCTCAGTTTAGCCAAAAGAAATGCGGGCAGCATAAGACGATTTGGGAAATAGATAGCCCAGGCCGTCACTTAGCAAGTCATTTGGGCATAACAGACTTTGGCTATTTTTAATTCATTTTTCGGAGTCCTCTGGGACAGATTTTCTGGTATTGTACCCTTCCCCAAATCAATTTCTAGCCAGTTACCCCTTTCCTGGGCTGCTGGTCATGTCTAGGACAGCCCAAAGGGCCATGAAGGGGACTTAATCCTAGAGGTGGGAGCTGCCCACTTCCCCGGGGCGTCCCCTGGGGCTCGTGGCCTCTGGGGACAGAAGAGCAGGCACAGTGGTGGGGCTCCACAGAGACAGGGTTTTAAACGTCCTCATGAATAAAAGTGGAGAAAGCAAATAGGAGGGAAGCTTCTGGAAGGTAAGGTAAACATGAAATGTTTCCCAGAAATTTTGATGTGAAGTGTTTTATTTTTTTTTTTAAAGATTTTATTTATGTATTTGAGAGAGAGAATGAGAGAGAGAGAGAGCATGAGAGGGGGAGGGTCAGAGGGAGAAGCAGACGCCCTGCTGAACAGGGAGCCCGATGTGGGACTCGATCCCGGGACTCCAGGATCATGACCTGAGCCGAAGGCAGTCGCTTAACCAACTGAGCCACCCAGGTGCCCCTGTGTGAAGTGTTTTATAAATGAAACGGTATAAGAAAATTCTGTATATTTAGTATTTCTGTTCAGTTCTCTTTGCAGACCTAAGGTGTAAGGGTGAGGCTAGGAGCATTTAGCTCATAAAGATGTCGCGTTTGGCCTCTTGAGGATTACGCAGCTTAGCTACAAAAGGAAAGAAAGGGAAGCAGGTCTCTTTTTCCTCACTGTGCTGCCTGCTTGTCCCCCAGCCTTCCTGCTCGGTGGGGAGGGCGACCACACCAGGCACCTGGCGGACACTGAGAGTGGAGTGCGTGGAGGGAAAGAGGGGGTGGGGGTTCACTGGGCTTTTATGTGGGCCACCTGCAGGAGCAGGGCTGGCAGGGGAGCTGACACCGGGTGGGCCTGCCCCAGGAAGACGACCCTGGGAGAAGAGCGGCCCCGGGCCGAGCTGGCTCAGGGGGACCCTGGGTGGAGGCGGGCCGCGGGGCCATCGAGGGCCCGCCCTCCACGTCCCCCGTGCAGCCGGCCTGAACAGGCCCGGGGGGCCCCGGTGCCCACAGACCAGCACTGCGGCGGCGAGCTCGGCGACTACACAGGCTACATCGAGTCCCCCAACTACCCCGGCGACTATCCGGCCAACGCTGAGTGCGTGTGGCACATCTCACCGCCCCCCAAGCGCAGAATCCTCATCGTGGTCCCCGAGATCTTCCTGCCCGTTGAGGATGAGTGCGGCGACGTCCTGGTCATGAGGAAGAGCGGTATGCACGGGTCGAGGCGGGGCAGCAGAGGGGCCGCCCAGGGTCACCCGTGGGGCGGGTTCGCAGCCCACCTCTGTCTGACCCAAAGGGCTCCGTGCCAGGGTGTGGCGAGTGGGGGGTGCACCCTGAGCGTGGGAGCCAGGGCCGGGCCGGTCTGGTCTCCACACTGACCACAGGCTAGTCTCATCCCAGGGGTCCTGCCTGTCCTGCCATGCCACCGAGGGTGAGGCCCCAGGAGCGACCGCTGCTCCGCCCACCTCCTGCTGCCTCTGAGGCTCGGGGGCACACACACAAGATGCCTCAGGGTCAGACAGCCCGTCCCTTCCCCTCTGGGAGTTCCAGCCTCCTGGCCCATCACCCCTGTCAAGGGGCCAAGAGCAGTGGGCCGGCCCTCAGTAGTGGGTGAGGACAAGTGTGTGCCCAGATGGCCACAGCATCGAGAAAGGTGGGGAAGCCCCTGAGCCCCCCAGGAACCAGGTTGAGTCCCTAATAGCATGTGCGCAGACCAGGACCCCTCACGGCTGCTGTCAGGTCACAGTGCCCCCAGGGAGCACACCCCAAGTTGGAACGTCAGGGAAGAAGGAGGCAGACGCAGGCAGACACAGAACACTCCTGCCCACTTGGGTCTGGAATGTGTATGAGGAACAGAGACTAAGCAGAGAGAGTGATTGAGGGAGTTTCTGTCCACTCTGTTCCCCTTGTTCTTTGTTACCATATGCGAGCGTCGCCCACTCGTGTCGCTGATAAGCCAGGAAGTCTGAGGCCAGAAAGGGCAGGGAGCCTGCCCAGGATGCCACAGCCGGTCAGAGCCCAGCCCGGGACCATCTTCCCCGCCTCCTCTGTCACCAGCCTCCCTAGTCCCCAACATCCTCCCTTCCACTGTCTGCCCACAGGGTTGAGCTCTAGGGGGTCAGCTTCTCCCACCTCCAGGGCATCTCAGGAAGGCTCCCCAGGGAGCAGTGAGGAGGTGGGGCACCCTTTGGACAGCCCCACGCACCCCAGGGTCAGCACGCTCACCCTTGTTCATCTGCTCATAGGGAGAGGGGACTTCCCAAATGGGGCCCCCCACCCCAGGCCTGACTTGTGCTGAGTGTGGGCATGAGCCCTATCCTAGAGGAGCAGTTGGTGCAGAAAGACAGTGACAACCCAACAGAGGGGCAGCGACAAAGGGTTCACCAGGGCAGGGCAGGAACATGGTAGTGCGAGGACGGAGCAGTCGGGGAGGCTTCCTGGAGGAGGAGACACAGAAACCTGCTCTGCAGGATGAGTAGGAACTGGGGTTGAAGGTGGGGACTGGCATTTGGGGCAGAGGGAGCACAGGCAGAGACTAGAGCTGGACTGTTTGGGGGACTGGGCGTGGGAGCTGGGTGGCAGACCAGGTGGGGAAAGCACGCGGCCTGAGGAAGGACAGGGGCCAGGTGCAGGGATGTGGGTCAGCCAGCCGCTCAGCCCCCCTGCTCTGTCCCCAGCATCACCCGCATCTATCACCACATATGAGACCTGCCAGACCTACGAGAGGCCCATCGCCTTCACCTCCCGCTCCCGGAAGCTCTGGATCCAGTTCAAATCCAATGAAGGCAACAGCGGCAAAGGATTCCAAGTGCCCTACGTGACCTATGACGGTCAGTGTGGCCGCACCGTGTCCGGCCCTGCAGACCCAGAGGCAACGAACACGTACGGGGTGGGGGGTGGTGCAGACGAGGGAGCCATGAGTGGTGTCTGTGGCCTTCAGCGTGACGTACTGCCCAAGCAGGGTTTTGAGGGTTGACTAGGAGTTCCTAGCTGGCCAAAACTCGAGGTCAATTTGGGTGGAGGATACAGAGGTTTGGAGGCAGAACTGCCTCTGGCCAAGGTCTGAAGTCTGAATGTGGAGCAGGGGAAGGCAGAGGCTGAAGGTGAGGGGGAAGCAGACAGGGTCTGGCACCTTCACCTTCCTTCCTTCCGTGCTGGTGGGTTTCACAGAGGACTACCAGCAGTTGATAGAAGATATCGTTCGCGATGGACGGCTCTACGCCTCGGAGAATCACCAGGAAATTTTAAAAGTGAGTGAGCTTCTTTATGGCAAAGGGTCCATGTGATCCCAGGATGGTGGCCTGTGATGATCCAGGGCATCTGTCCTTGCAGACCAGGAGGGCCGAGACAAGCTCCCTGGTGGCGTCTAGCCCAGGACCTGGTGACTGGTCTTTGGGCTCCTCACCAGCTGCCAGCCTCACTTCCCTCATCTGTGAAACACGGTGGGAGCTTAAAATCAGTAGAATCCGCCCCCACCTTTGGGACTGCCTGCCTCGTCATCTTGCTCGTGGCCTTAAGAAGCAGAGCCACCTTGTCATCGAGGGGCGCTGTGTCTGTCACGCGGCAGGCACTGGCCAGCTCAGGGCCCCAACCCAGGGATTTGCTCGGGCTCTGGGGGTCTGGCCGTGGCTCAGCATCTGGGAAGATAGCACTCCCAGCCTGGGAGCTGAGGTGGGCGGGGCTAGAGCAGGGTTGGGGCCCCTGGCTGTCATGTCCCAGCTGGGTGGCCCTCGGCAAGCCCTCTGAGAAACCAGGCGTGGCTTGCCGAGTGTGGGTCTTCCAGCCCCGGGGCTGGCACGGTCCTCCACACAGTAGGCAGTTTGTAAGCAGAGAGGTTCCCCCCAATGCTGCTGCACCCAGGAGCAGAGCTAGAGGTTCTAGAGCCCGTCTGTGTAGTGGGAACCGGAGGGTCGTGCTGGCCTCTCCATCAATCCATCCTGCAGACAATGCCGGCTCTCCTCCTCGCCCCAACCCTGCCGCCCTGGCCCTCTGCCCACGGCTCCACCCTGCAGCCAGGAGCATCTTTGCAGAACTAGAAATGTTTCCATCACTTAGGACAAAAATCTTGGCCCTCGAGGCCTGGCCGGGGATGGCCCGCACCTGCCTCTGAAGCTGTTCTGCTTCTCTCCCTCGCCCTCTGCCCCTCTCCCGATCATGTGGGCTCTCTCTAAAATATATAAATAAATCTTTTTTTTTTTTTTTTAAAGTCAAAGGGTGCCTGGGTGGCTCAGTCGTTAAGCATCTGCCTTCGGCTCAGGTCATGGTCCCAGGGTCCTGGGATCGAGTCCCGCATCGGGCTCCCTGCTCTGTGGGGAGTCTGCTTCTCCCTCTCCCTCTGCCTGCCACTCCCCCTGCTTGTGCTCTCTCTCTCTCTGTCAAATAAATAAATAAAATCTTTAAAAAAAAATAATCAAAAAACAGGGCACCTGGGTGGCTCAGTCGGTTAAGCGACTGCCTTCGGCTCAGGTCATGATCCCAGGGTCCTGGGATCGAGTCCCGCATCGGGCTCCCTGCTCTGCAGGGAGCCTGCTTCTCCCTCTCCCTCTGCCTGCCGCTCCCCCTGCTTGTGCTCTCTGTCTCTCTGTCAAATAAATAAATAAAATCTTTAAAAAAAAATCAAAAACAATTCATGGGGAAGAGAGTCTGTGGGGTCCTCCTCCCCCTTCCTTGCAGACACCCCACAGGCTCCTCCAGGGCCCCAGACATTGAAGAGGCCCGCAGCCCCGGCCCCCCACTCGGCCTCACCACCCGCCTCACCATGTCTTGCAGGACAAGAAACTCATCAAGGCCCTCTTCGATGTGTTGGCGCATCCCCAGAACTACTTCAAGTACACAGCCCAGGAGTCCAAGGAGATGTTCCCGCGGTCCTTCATCAAACTGCTGCGCTCCAAAGTGTCCCGATTCCTGCGGCCCTACAAATAATGCCCTGCTCGGGGATGGGGGGGTGTCCCGACGGGGAGGGGAGAGTGCCTTCCCTCCACAGGAGAGGCTAGAAGGCGGCTCCGCGGGCCTCCACACTCTGCCTCGGGAAGCCACCACGGCGTCTGCCCTTCGGAAACACGGACCAGCCCGTGGGGGTGAGACCACGTCCAGGCCGAGACCCCGGCCCGCCGCACTCCTCGGATGGCCCCACGGGGAAAACACTGCGGCTTTTCTCCCTCGCTCCCTCTGCCTGTTCGATTCCAGGACAGCAGCCTCTCCTGAGCCGGCACTAGAGGACCCGCCCGGGGCCGGGACACCCTGTGCGCAGCCAGGTCCTGGGCAGAGAGCACATTTGGGGGGGGTGGCACGTGGCCTCACCTGACGCCTCGGGGGGTGGGGGCGTGGCTGCCTCTGCCCCCAGGCAAGCTCTGGGAGGCATCATCTGAGACAGGAAGCCAGGCTGCGGGAGGAGGGGTGTGGGAAGGCGCCTGGGAGCTTTGATAAGCCAGTGTCTGCACCTGCAAGGCATCCGCACCCCACCCCACCCCTCCGGCCACGGGCCCGGGACGCAGGCGCCACGTGGTGAGGCTCTAAGGATTCTGTGATGGGACAGAAAAGAGCTGCTAGCGGAGGAAACTGTAGATTTGTGCTTTCCCTTGATAGAGCATCTAATTAAGTGCTATATATATATATAACTATAAATATAAATATAATATACTTCTATTTGTGGGTACTTTAGGAAAATCCTCTTTAGTGACTATAAATATGAAATGCAACCCCACCTCTTCCCTCACAGGCTGTTGCCAGCATCCCTGAGTGATTAACCGCCCCGCCAGGTGCTTGCCACTGGTTTATGTGGGGCCGGGAGCCTGCAGGATGGGGAGAAGGCAGGCTGGTTCTGGACGCACTCTGGAATACATATTTTTGGGGAACTGGGCTCCGATGCTTTGCTGGAGTGTTGCCCTCAGATACAATATGGTAGAAGGCAGTTTCCCCTTGGGCCCTTTCCTGTGGGTACAGGAGCCCAGCAGTAAACCTTGAAAGGGGCCTGTGCTGACCCTGAGGCCATGACCTTGGGGTCTGTGCCGTGGCCTCGTGCCACAGGGAAACAAGGCCTTGCCCACGTGAGCACAGGCTGTGCCACCGCGAGAGGCCTCAGAGGGCAGGTGGCCAGCATCCGAGGCCGGGCCCCGAGAGTGCTGCGCCCCTCGGAGAGTCTGTCTTTAAAGAAGAGAAGTCCAGAGTCTGACCCGGTTGCATGGTGTCCCCCTCAGCCAGGAAGCCTGCCCCGGGGTAGAGCCAGAAAAGTTCCCGCGGCGCTGAGGCCTCGCCTGCCGGCCGACTGCCAAAGAAACACGCGTAGGAAGCGGTCTGTATCTTTAGGGCTAACAAATGTTCACAATTCCAAGAAACGTGGGAGAATCTTAAAATGAAGCCCAGTGACCCGTCCCAGGTGCCCCTAGGCTGTGTCCTCCTCGTGCCCCCACGGACCCACGCTGAGCGAAGGGCACGGTTTGAGACCCGTCCATGGCACGCTGCGGATGGTGAAGCCTGGGGCCGGGCGCGTGGGGTCTGGGGGTCGATGACAAGGCAGGCCGGGACAGTTTCACAATCCAGAACAGGGCTGGGGGCTCAGAAATCGTTCCCTGCCGCCGCCCACGTCAGCAACGGCAAGTCCGCAGTTTGACAAACGCTCTGCCGCCAGCGCCTTTTCTGCCAACAACCAGCTCAGGTCGGGAAGGGGCCTGGTGGGCAGATCAGTGTGAGCCCTGAGCCCTGTCTGGGCCCACACCACCCTCCCCCGCTCACGGGCCGTGAAGGCCAGCCTCAGTCTCCAGCAAGACGCCTGTCTTCCCTCCCAAGCCATTGCGCATCCCCAGAAATTAGACGAGCGTCCTCCAGAACGGCCCCGAACAGCAACCACCCAGGCGAGGGGACAGGGAGGGGCTTTTTAATAATGTTCTCAAAACAGGACCAGAAGGGCTCTAACCTTTCTTGAATGCTTCCTGCTGCCCCTGTGGGTGGTTTCGGGCAGTCGCCACCCACAAACCGCCCTAAAACACTGGCCTTTCCAGTGGGAGCCCACCCATGTCCCGTGGCTCTCCCCACCACTGTGGTCGGACGGGCCCGGTGTTCCCCCAACAGAGCAGGACAGATGTGGGGCCCCTTGCCCTCACAAGTACCAGGAAGCCACCCCAATTTGCCAGCTGCCGGCACATCGCCATCAGGGGCACTCAGTCCAGGATGGGGTTTGTCCTTCGTCTCGATGTCAGCCCTGAGCCCCACCCTGGGGAACTTGAGGCTCCCACTGTTAAAGCCAGCGCTGTCCCCGGTCGTCGGAGCCTGGTGGCCATGGGAGAGCTTCCTGGGCAACAAAGCACATCTGTCCATGTTCCCGTGTTGTGGAAGCTGGTGGCAGGGCTCGAGATGTGGAGGGGCTGAGCCAGAAGGAGCACACCCCCCTCGTGGATGGGACATTGGCCTTGAGCAGCCCCAGGCCAGCCACCGTCGCCCCTCGCCTGGCACGGACCCTCGGCTGCTGGCCAGTCAATAAACTCCAAGGAAGAGAGCTAAGGAAGAGGCTTCTGGAAGCAAAAGCTTGCCCAGTCGGCCGGGACTGAAAGGGGCCAAGGCCTGGAAGTCCTGAGGAGCTTGGCTCTGCTCCTCGTGGGGTGGCCGGGGACGCTCTCGGAGGATGGCAGTGGAAGACCGAGGGGCGCCCCCCCGCACCAGGTGCCCGATGACGGCGGTCAGGTGGGACCCAGGAGTGGCGGACCTGGAAGAAGCCCTCTGCCCCGCACCCCCTGGCGTCTCCGGGCTCTCTGCTTCCATGGAAACATGCGGAGGAAAAGAAGAGACTCTGCCTCAGGTCCAGTGGCCAGCTGGGCCCTCAGCGAGTGAGTGCTGGGGTCACCTCATCTGCCTCCGAATTAGGCTATTTTCCCAGCTACGCTCTTGCCTGAGCCAGGGCCTTGCAGCCGCGGTGTTGTGCTGGCCTCTCCCCCCGCCCCGGGCTCTCCACTTAGTCTCAACTCACCCCAGCAGGTGGCCTGGGCCAGTGGTGGTGACCTCGCTCTGCCCAGCTCTAGCTCCCCAGGGGCAGTCTTTGCCAGTCCCTCCTCACCTCTGTGGCGACAGAATCAAGGGGCCGTGGGGCCCAAGGTGGCGGCCTCAGACAGCTTTCCCTTCTGCCGTCCGTTGGTTTGGGACACGCAGATGAAGTAGAACCGTAACCTGGGCCAGAAAGTCACCAGAGACAAATGGCCCCAAGAGGCTGCTTCTGAGAGCCCAAAGACAGAACTTCTTTCCTTCAACCTCTTAAAACCATGTTTCCTACCAGAACATTCATTCCCCGGGGGACACGGCCAAGATCAGCCGTTTTCCACGACAATAGGCCCCAGCCTGCTGGAGCTAGAGTGGGGGTCTGAGTGACATTTGGGGGGTTGGATAATTATACAAAGGTCTCCACCCACCACCCTCAGCAGGAAAATAAGATACTGAGCTAAGTTAGGTCATTTAGCAAACATTTGCTGAGCGCTTACTGCGTGCCAGGCTCCTAGGAAGGAGGAGAGACCACAGCCATGGGGCTGGCAGAATCCCCGGCAAAGTCCCTCTTGGTCCCAGAGATAAAGGAGATTGAGGCTGGCCTGGGGGTGGACAGAGCCCAGTGCTCCTCCGGAGAAGGCACTCCGTCCTTCCAGCGCCTCCCAGCGCCCCGGGTGGGGATGGAGGGCCTCGACAGAGGGCAGAGCCGAGCAGGGGTCGCCAGAGGCGTCCCGAAGTCCATCTCCCAAAGGAGGAACTGCCGCCCGCCCGGCCTCACCATGTGGCCGCCCTCCCCCCAAACCCCGGCAGAGAGCGACGCGGAGAAGAGCGCAGCCACCATGCCGAGGACAGCAACCTCCACCCCGCGCAAGATGTCCCTGTCTTCGCCACGGATCCACATGGTGGCCGCTCAGCCCTTCTGACCAGGGTGACAGCGCCGACCTCATTCAGGCCAGTGGCAGAAGGACCGGCGTTTGAGAGACACTACCTGTCCACACGGAGAGTCGAAGCAGCCAGCTCCTTTCCTCCCGTGGCTGCCTCTGGAGGCGCTAGTTCTGAGCACCTGCTGTTTGCCAGACAGAGGTGTGGCGCGGAGCTGGAGTCAGCCGTGTCCAGCTGGCTTCTTGGAGAGGGCAGCGGGGGGGCAGGCCAGCCCCAGGCCCAGACGCCGGAAGCGTGGCCACGCGTTCCCTCCCAGCACCCTGCACAGATGGCCCCCAAAGAGTAGGACCCTCTGTTTCTCTGAGGCCCCAGATGGGCCCCTCGAGTCTCAAGAGGAAGCAGTGAAAGGCCTGAGTCCCCCAGTCGCCAGGCTCTGGGGGGCAATCCTCAGGGCCCTGCGAGGCAGGTGGGGCCTGATGCTCCTCGGACGCAGAGGGCGAGACTCTAGGAGGCCCAGTGACATGCCCCCAGCGAATAGCTAGTAGTTGGTGGAACGGAGACTCAAACCCAAGTCCATCGAAACCCAGGGTAGGAGATGTCTGTCTGTGGGATGTTGACAACTGAATTGTACGGATTGGGAATGCGCTGGGGAGCTCCGGGGCAGGGATGTGGCAGGTAGGGAGGACGGAGGTGGAGGAGTGTGGACGTAGTGACCTCCCCTCCCTCTGGAACAAGCGCTAAAGTCAGAGGAAGGCCGGCTTCTGCCTTCTCCCCTACGTGGACAGGATGGAAGTGTCCGTTCAGACTCGGGCCCACAGGCCAACCACGGCCCTGCGCACCCCCAGAGAGATGCTGTGCGCCCCCCGTCGGCCCCTCTCGCAGGCTCCGGCACGCAAACATGAGACAACGCGGGTGTCCCTCGGCAGACCGTGGGCTGAAAAGTAGGGGCACAAAGAGAGCTCACTGGTGCCCAGGACTTTGTTTTCCAGTTCAGAGGCCATGTAGATCCCAAGAAAGGTCTTAGTCCACTGAGATCAGAACCTTGAACAGCCTGAGCAGAGCCAGTCCGTACCTTGAAATGGGTTATCTGAACACCGCTGGGGGACCTGGGGGGGGGAGGGGGCCAGGGGAGGCAGGGAGGGGAGCAGAGCGCTGGGCCCTTGTTCCCCCAGCCTCCGCTTTGGGTTCTGTGAAGGCGCTGTACTGTCCAGGCACTCTGGCAACCCTTCTGTCCACAAGGGTGACAGATATCGGCGCAATCATGTTTTTATTTCGGTTGCCTCGAATATTCAAGGTTTTGTCTTCTCCCTCCTGTTCATACATATGCATGTAATTAAATGTTTGTGGAAATTACTTTAATAATAAACAGGAAACGAACCTAAATGTTGCTCCTTTCTCGCATTCATCAGAGGTCATGATCCGGGGGAGGAAAGGGGGAAGAAAGAACTAGAATCAGAAAAAAAAATCTTTTCAAACATTCCTTGGCTATAATTGAGGGCTAAAAGTAAAGGAGCTACGGTAAGCTTCTGGAAGGCAAAGCAGTAGGTTTGAGATCCGCATGATCCGCACGTGAAGAGCGCCCACAGGTAGGGGACGGACGTGTTCCTGGATGAGCTACAGGGAGGTAGAACATCTGAGGCTGCAAGTCCACCCCTCCTCATGCCTGGCCGCGGGAATCGAGAGATGCTCCTCTCCGCTGTGGCTTTCACCTTGAAGTCAAGGCCACCATGAGCCCCGGGGGATCTGGATGCACAGTCAGTGCAAGCACATGCCAATTCTCTGGGAATACGACCCATGGCTTTCATCAGATTCTGAAAGAAACCTAGAACGCCAAAAACGCTGATAACCATTCCTCTCCTCAATAATGCTGAGAAGCCTCTGGCATCATGCACTCGACAGGAGAAAAAACGATTTCATAAATGATACCAATATTCCAAGTGAGTGACAGTAAACGGCAGAGTTGTTTGGCTTGTTTGTTTGATTTTTTGGTTTAACCCAATGATTTAAAAGTCTAAGGAAATTTCTGGAATATACCCAAAAGAACAGAAAGCCGGATCTCGAAAATATATTTGTACACCTATGTTCATAGCATTACTCACGATAGTCAAAAGATGGAAGCAACCCAAGTGTCCGTCAGTGGATGAGTGGATAAACACCATGGTCCCTCCACACCACGAATAGGATTCGGCCTTAAAAAAGAAAGAAGGTCGGACACCAGCTACAATGTGGATAAACCTGGAGGACGTGGTGCTGAGTGCGAAATGTCAGGTCAAAACAGCAGGTACTGTGTGATTCCACCTACACAAGGTCCCTATGATGCTGTTTTTGAGTGTAGGCGAGGTTCAGTGGGGTCCGGAGGCGATGGCCAAGAAAGAATTCTTTTTTTTTCTTTTTCTTTTTTTAAAGATTTTATTTATTTGACAGAGAGAGACACAGCGAGAGAGGGAACACAAGCAGGGGGAGTGGGAGAGCGAGAAGCAGGCTTCCCGCCGAGCAGGGAGCCCGATGCAGGTCTCTCGACCCCAGGACCCTGGGATCATGACCTGAGCCGAAGGCAGACGCTTAACGACTGAGCCACCCAGGCGCCCCCTTTTTTTTTCTTTTTAAAGATTGTATTTATTTATTTGAGAGAGAGAGGGAGAGTGAGCATGAGAGAGAGAGAGAACCAGTGGCAGCAGAGGGAGAGGGAGAAGCAGGCTTCCCGCGGAGCAGGGAGCCCGATGCAGGACTCGATCCCAGGACCCTGGGATCATGACCGGAGCCAAAGGCAGACGCTTAACGGACTGAGATATCCAGGCGCCCAAGAAAGAATTCTTGAGACTTCTTTGGTGCAAAATGGTGGTTTTATTAAAGCACAGGGACAGGTTCTGTGGGCAGAAAGATCTGCTGCCCTCCACCCCCACCACCCCAGGGATTAGTGAGGAGCAAGTGATGAAATACTTTGGGGTTGGGGCAAGGAAAGACAAGGTAAGTTTCCAAAGGATTTTCATATGCTAAAGAAGACTCACAGGATACCAGAGGCCTTGCTTATTATCAAATCAAGGTTGTTTTCCCATCTAGCAAGGTATTAACATTAAGACAGTAGGGAGTTTCCTGGAGGAAGGTTATAATCTGCCTCCTCAAGGATTTGTCAATGGGCTACAGATTATAAGGACATTTAATTTTATCTACATTTCCTTCTGCCTTTGTTTCCCAGATCACATAGAAGAGACAGAAAGTAGAGTGGTGGGCATCAGGGGCTGGGGGAGAGGGGGAGAGGGGGAGGAGGAGGGGAAAGTGGAAGTTTAGTGGGGACAGTTTCAATCGAGGAAAGATGAAAAAGTTCTGGGGATGGATGGATGGTGGTGAAGGTTGTAAACAATGTGAATGTGAATGCCACTGAACTGCATACTTTTTTAATGATTAAAATAGCAAATGTTGTCTTATGTGTATTTTGCTACAATATTTAAAAGTCTGAGAATCAAACAATGACATCTGCTGAGCACACAACACACTGGACATTTCTACTGTATTTCCCCCCAAAGCTCTCATGAGAACAGGCTCAGGGGCACCTGGGTGGCTCAGTTGGTGAAGTGTCTGCCTTGGGCTCAGGTCATGATCCCAGGGTCCTGGGATCGAGTCCCGCATCAGGCTCACTGCTCTGCGGGGAGTCTGCTTCTCCCTCTGCCTGCCGCTCCCCCTGCTTGTGCTCTCTCTCTCTCTCTCTCTGTCTGAGGCCTCTTTTGGGCTGGAAAATGAGCTGAGAAGCAGTGCAGTCCAGCTCATAGATAGCAGAGAAAGTGGGGTGAAGTGGACTTACTCCCCAGGTCGCCAAGTCCAAGATGGATTCCAAGCTCCTCGGAGAGCAGAAGGCCCCCATTCCAGCTCCTTCCGGCCTGCTCGGTGGGCTGTGGCACTCCAGAGGAGGGTGGCCAATTAACATTTGAAAAGATGCTCAACCCCATGAATAAAACCAGAAATACAAATGAAGACGACAGAGACACCACTGTGGCGCTAGGTGGGCAAAAACGAAGCCCGATACAATAAAAGAGAGGGTGTGGGTGAATGCTGCTGGTGTAAATGGAGAGGCTCTTCCACATACGTGTGCCAGAAACACACAGGAATATTCATCGCCTCGCGTTTATAAGATGGTAGCAGAGTCACACAGTCGTTCTGTAGCAGTGAACGTTAGCCGGCCCGTACCTCACGCCACAACAGAGATCTGCCTTAGAAACATAAAGGGCAGCTCATCCTGATGAGCGGTGGGTGATGAATGGAAATGTATAATCACTATGATGTGGTTCTGGAATATGGGTAAGGTTTGGTGGGGTGAGGTCCAAAGCCGACGACCAAGAAGGAGTTTTTGAGACGCCTTTGGTGCAAAATGGTGTTTTTATTGAAGCACGGGGAGAAGACCCGTGGGCAGAAAGGGGTTGCACCGGGGTCTGGAGGAGTGGCTGACTGTATTCTCAGGAGGTGGCGGAAGTAAGGAAAAGGGAGGTTTCAAGAAGATTTTCATATGTTAAAGAAGACTCACAGGATACGGAGGCCTGGCCATTGTCAAGTTAAGGTTGTTTGTCCCTCTAGCAAGGCATTAACATGAAGATAGTTGGGAGCTTCCCAGAGGAACAGTACACTCTGCCCACTTCAAGTATCTGTGAATGGGCTCCAGGTTATAAGGACATTTAATTGTATCTACATTTCCTCCTGGAAGCTAGGTTATTGATAGAAATGCTTTGTTTTGTAGATTGCTAAGACATTAGTAAACTGAGGGAAACTCGGGTCTTGCAGGACTGTGATCTCTATTAGTTAACTATTTGTTTTTCCTTAGCTTTAGGACAGCCAGGAGTGCAAGAGGAATGTCACAAACACCCCATGGGGGGGGTGGTTATGGGGTGTCTGCTTCTGCTTTGTTCTCTGCTTGTCTTCTGCTCCCTCATCAACTACGTTGTACATGTGAAACTCATGGAACACGGTAGCTTAGCTACACTGGAATTAAATTAAATTAAAAAAATAATAACATAATGTACAGGAACAAGGCCAGGATGTCTGTTCTCCTAACAGCATAGGAGGTTCTCGCCAGGATGATTAGACAAGAAAGGAAGGAAGACATCCAGGTTGGAAAGGAAGGAAAGCATTCTCTACTCGCAGATGGCCCGCTCTTGTACATAGAAAATCCTAAGGAATCCACAAAAAAGCTATTAGAGCTAATAAATGAGGTCAGCAAGTTTACCAGGGATAAGATCAATTTGCAAAAATCAATTACATTTCGGGGTGCCTGAGTGGCTCAGTTGGTTAAGCGGCTGCCTTCAGCTCAGGTCATGATCCCGGGGTCCTAGGATCAAGCCCCATGTACTCGGGCTCCCCGCTCAGCAGGGAGTCTGCCTCTCCCTCTGCCACTCCCCTGCGTGTGATGTCTCTCTTACTCTCCCTCTCAAATAAATAAAATCTTTAAAAAATCTATTACATTTCTATATGATGTGGGAAACAAAGGCAGAAGAAAATGTAGATAAAATTAAATGTCCTTATAACCTGCAGTTCACTGACAAATACTTGAGGCAGGCAGAGTATAACCTTCCTCCAGGAAGCTCCCTACTGTCTTAAATGTTAATGCCTTCCTAGAGGGAAAAACAACCTTATTTTGACAATAGCAAGGCCTCCAGTATCCTGTGTGTCTTCTTTAGCATATGGAAAATCCTTTTGAAACTTCCCTTATCTTTACCTCCCCCCAACCCCGAAGTATATAATCAGTTGCTCCTCATTAATCCCAGGGGTGGTGGGGTGGTGGGGTGGGATTGGGGGTGGGGGGCAGCAGCGCTTTCTGCTCATGGGTCCTGTGTCCCCTTGTTTAATAAAACCACCATTTTGCACTAAAGATGTCTCAAAAATTCTTTCTTGGCCATTGGCTCTGGACCCTACCAACACACCAAAGTTCGCTACAGCATATATAACAACAACAAATAATCTGAAAATGAAATTAAGAAAAAAATCCATTTAGGGGCACCTGGATGTCTCTCAGTCGGTTAAGCGTCCGACTCTTGATCTCAGCTCGGGTCTTGATCCCAGGATTGGGAGTTCAAGCCCCGCATTGGGCTCCACACCTGGCATGACGCCTAGTTTAAAAAAAAAATCCATTTACAATAGCATCAAAAAGGATAACCTACTTAGGAATAAGTTTAACAAAAGAAGTGCAAAAACAATTTGGCAGGTCCTCAAATAGTAAACTTAATCTATGACCCAGCAATTCCAGGCCTAGGTGTGTACATCTAAGAAAACTGAAATATATTGACACAAAAATGTGTACATGAATGTTCACAGCAGTGTTACCCATAACAGCCAAAAAGTAAAATTAATTAACTTATTTAATTTAAAAAAAGAAAAAAACAGCTAGAAAGTAGAAACAG